AAATTCAATTGTAACTGTTGGACGTATAAAAAAACTTACGAATTAATTAAATTCGTCTACTCAGGACTACTTGTTTCGACTTAGCAAAAATAAATTACTATTTGTAAATCAAACTAGTAGATGGTACCAGTGACCACAGAGCTGGTGCTTGCCTCGCTCAACGAATAAGTGTCGCAATACAGTGAGGAAATGCTGCGAGTGTTGAAGGTACACTGCCACAGGGACCAAACTTTTAAACTTATTTTAATTTTCTTTTTATTAATTTTTTAATTATTTTTGTTATTGCTATGTAGGTTAATAATATTGTAAATTCTGTATATTTGATTGTTATAGGAAAAAAATTACATATATTATTAAAACAACATTAAGAGTTTTCGTAAAAGTTCCTCAAAACAATTTTAATTCAATTCCTAATTAAAATACAAAATGTTCTAACAAAAATTCTTCGCGTAAAAATTCAAATGACTTCTTCCACAGACTAACAAACTCTCAATATTACAAATTAAATGAGTAATTTAAAAAAAATCAGTATTAGTCTAGTAGTTTCATCGTGGTACTCTCATAGCTGAAGTTGTAGGTTCGATCCCCGGCTGTGTACCAAAGGACTTTCTGTCTTTGTGCGCATTTAACTCACACGTACGAAGGACAACATCGCGAGGAAGTTTGATCACCTACTTTCCTATTAGATAGCATTACGTAACAAATACAGAAATCTGAAGCTTAGACCTAAAAGGTTATAGCTTCATTGGTACATGTGTAGTTTATGATGGAACTTATTCCAAATACGGAATATTTCCATACAAAAATGTTTCGATTTTACATATGTTTGCCAACACTTATGTCTCAATCAAAAAAAACATGAGCAAACGATAGCAAAGGGCCGTACCGTGGCCTTGATGTAATTCAGCCAATCAAAATTTGGGTCTGAGCCCTTCATTGTGCGTTGCGCGTGCGACCTCAATAGTGTAAAACTGGTAATACAAATATGGAAACTGGGCGTGTTTCCGAAATTACCAACGCTTTGAATATGAGATTTTGTTGTCACGTGTAGATCTTTTATACAAAACTGGACCGACGTTTGGTCACAATCCCACATGTTTATTTATTTATTTAAGTTCACCTCATCTACGGTATATGTTACAAGCTAACTTTTCAAAAATATATAGTTAATATGTTAAACATAAATTTTACAAAAATACTATAAAATTACCAGCTAAAGAGCGCATTAGGTATGATATACACTCGCGAGCAAACAAATCGACTCAAGCGCTACCTCTGCATTCAAAGATTGTTTTAAGTGAAAGTATACAACATTTTAATAAAAATTATATCTCATTTGAAAGCTTAAAACTTCAACTTTTATGAGATGTCATCATTATTAAAATCCATGTAACCTTTTTTTTATTATTGGTGTCTGAACTTAAATGGGGGAAAAATGGGATTTTGGGTAAAGGAGTTGTGTTCAGAATTGACAAATAAAACACTTTTTTTTTCTTAAAGAGTATAACATTTATTGGTTCACTAATTGGTATTGCCCCCCTAGCCCTTATTACAGCCCGTATTCGGTTCTTCATCGACCTTATTCTTTTTGACGGTGTCTTGAGGAATACCTTCCCACTCCTCTAACAAAGCTGCTTTCAATTCTTCAAGGTTGGATTTCTTGCTCGTACCCTTTGTTTAAGTTCATCCCATAAATGCTCGTCGGGATTTATGTCTGGACTGAGCGCAGGCCAGTCCATTATGCGCAAATCGACTTCTCGAAGAAACTGCTGAGTAACGCGCTGTGTGGCATCGAGAATTGTCATGCATTAGGATGAAGTCTTCGTCAACAAATCCTGCGTAGGGCACAACATGTTCCAGGAGAATATTTGTGATGTACCCATCAGCTGTCAGTCCTGCTCTGCGGCCTACTCCAGGCACGAAAACAAGCTGGGTTTTACCCTCTAACGAGATACCAGCCCACGTCATGCAAGAACCGCCAACATAGGCAACGATTTCTGCGAATCAGCATTAGGAAAATCGCTCTCCCGGATTTGCTCGTTGTAGTAATCAAGTGAAAATCAGACTTTTCAAGGCGTTTTGTCAAAACTTTTACACGAGTAGTCTATGGGTCAACTGTACTGTCGGGTCGCTAACTGTCATGCGTGTTCAATACATTATACAATAATGCTTTTAGGATGCTCTTGGGACTGCCTCATTTCTGCAGTGCTTCGGAGATGTTCGCCCAAGCCCGTACAAATGTGTTCTGGGCTATTCTTAGAATTAAAACTTTTTTTTAAAATTTAAATTTACCAAAGATTTCCTAAAGCATCTTCAGATTTTTTTCGAACTATCACAAATTACGGAGAGTTCTTTGTGGAAAATGTTTGAGTTGAGTTGCCGCGACGATTAATTTAATTAATTAAAACCTGTTAAATGAAAGTGGGTTATTTTTTCTGTTTAAGGTCAACAGTGAATAGAAAACATTTTATATAACATTCGCTAAAATTGTCCCACCTATAAACGCATACGTTTAATTATGATCACATAATTATATGTTCGCAGAGTGAGTTCACGGTAGCGATATTGTTTATCGTATGTATTTAATATTATATACTTTATATTTAATTTCAAAATATCGTATTGGTTTAGTTAGAGTAAGGATATTATATTTTTGTGAATAAATAAACATTTTAGCATTCTCTCGAACAGATACCATCGTGAGGAAACCGGCTTGCCTAGACCCAAAAAGTCGACGGCATGTCAGGCACAGGATGCTGATCACCTACTTGCCTATTAGATTGATAATTATCATAAACAGAAATTAGAAAAAAGGTTGTAGCGCCACTGATCTATTTTTATTTAAATAAATAAATAAATAAAAATTTGTACTTACCCAACAGATATTTTTACCATAAAAAATTAACATACTCAAACTCAAAATAACTTTATTCATATAGGTAAACAAGTACACTTATGAACGTCAAAAAAAAAGTTAAATTAATTGTAAATTTACATTTACTACCAGTTCGCAAGTCAAGGGCGTAGAGCGGGCAAGAAGAACTGGCAAGAAACTTTCCGCCACTCTTTTTAATCGCTAAGTTTTGAGTCATACAAATTGTTTGAAGTGGAGCAAATTAATTCCAAGGATTAGGATCATTTAAGTATTCGTCAAATTTATTAATTTACGTTTAACGAGGGCTTTAAATTTATTTAGTGATAGTTCTCTAATTTCGCTTGGGAGTTTGTTGTAAAAACGAATACAATTTCCATATAAGGAGTGGTTTATCTTCTGGAGTCTGGTTGGTCGTGTACTCAAATTAGTTATTGCGTATTATACAGGTGAAAGTCACCATTTGTTTTAAAATTGTTTATATTTTTTTGTATATACAACAGGGCTTCAAGAATATATAGACCAGTTACGGTTGAGTATCAGTAATAATAAAGATAAAAATAATTGCCCACATCTATAATAGTTACCAAGACGCGAGATACATAACGATGGTGTTATTTTCAGTTAGAAATAGAATGAGCTATCGCGCGGTCAACGTACGCATTATCACCATATTGTGTCCGTTTAAAGCCGTCTCTCTGCTTCAGTAATTTGTATGTAAAAATTAATCAATTTTAAATGAGAATAACAAAATTTATTGTTTAGAATTTACTTAGTAATTGTTACTTTATATTCCCACCTAAGTAACGACTATAAGGGCTCCCACACAAAACTGCGAATTCGCATCGCATCGCAAATATCTGCGAATTCGCACGAACGCACCGCAAGAAGTTCCGATCTGCTTCGCATCGCACATTTGGTGACTTGGTGACGCCATTTTAGTCCGCTCTGAGACAGCTTTAGAGAAAGACGCGCGGCGCCTCCGCCGCCTTGAACATTATAAAAATAAATTTATTAAGCAAGATGCGTGGAAGAGCGTCTGTGAAAGTTTGCATCAGAGTTCATAATCGTAATTGGATGAACCCAGAATCTTCTTTTTCTTTTATATCTATTTAACAATAACAGCAGTGCAATTATCTTTTTGCGATCCATCTTAATCGTCCTAAAAACACGTCCAGTACGGCTGACTACGAAGGAATGGTCGCCCTAAATCGTATCGCAGAAATTGGCATCGCAAATTCCTGCGATGCGAACTCGCATCGCATCGCATCGCAGTTTTGTGTGGAGTCCTAAAAACCACCAACCGACATAAAGGGTATCAGTAGGAACTGTATATTATTGTTGGTAATTAATATAATTTCGTCATGATCGTAGAACTATGTCGGATTTGAAAAAAAAAAAAATCCACTTTTTATCATATTTGGATACTACATTGACTAAATATTACGGCTACATTAAAAAAATCCATGTGTTTTAAATTTCAAATTAATCAGTCGGTAAAGTGACGGATTTGACAGAAACATGTGATTTTTCTAGAAAACTGTGTAATTTAATGTTATTATTATTATTTTGTTTCAACACAAACCCTTTTGTTTGCTTGTGTGCCAATTTTCATAATAAAAGAATATGAATTAAAATAGTTATGACAAAAACAAACATGATTATATTATTTTGAAATGGCTGCCCTGTAAAGTTTACTATTTGTCAGATCCGTCACTATTCTTCGACTTAGGCTTCCAATTTTTATAAGTTTGTTTGTCCATGGATACTAAGTCGGATCCGATACCACGTACTTAGGCCTACAACGCACTAGCGGCTGGCCGCGATGCGGTGTGCCGCTGCGGCAGGCCGCGGTATATACGGTCTGCCGTAGCGGCATGCCGTATTCCGGCTAACCGTCCCTATTGCGGTCTGCCGCAATCGTCACTCGTCAAGTGCTTCTTGAAATATTGCACATGATGGACGTTGAAGAAGTTGCGGTAGTTATTTATTTATATCATCGTAGAAAATATCGTCAAAAAACTCTGCGTAGTGTCTAGCGCAAGGAACAAGCGATGGCTGAGGCGGGTAGGACGTGGTATTTGCGGCTAACCGCGCCGAGTGCGTGGAGGGGATGCGGCGCGCCGTATCATTCAACCGGTGCGGCTCGCCGCAGCTCCAGATCAACCGGAGCGGTTGACGGTTGTCCGCAAGTCAGTGCGTTGTTATCATGCGGTTTCATGTAATAATCGATGTGCGGCCTGCCGCAGCGGCACACCTCATTGCGGCCAGCCGCTAGTGCGTTGTAGGTCTTAGAGAACACCAGGTTTCGTCGAAATCGCTTTAGTTTTTTTTTGTGTTCTATTACAGTAATTTCTCGTCGGTTTAATTTCTTAACTTAATTCTATATAGTAAATATCCCACTTCACAGAATACATTTAAGACACTTCTGGGCTCATATTAAAATTCATGAGGTGTCAGCTATGCGGCGCCGAATGTACGGACCCTGTCAATTATTATAATTGAAGCAATCACGTGAAAAGTCAATTATAATTATTAAAACATGAAAATTGTTTTACGTTTATTTATCTTTATATATATAATTCTTCTGTGAGTGTGTATGTCACTGAACTTCTCTCAAACGACTGGACCGATTTTGATGAAATTTTTTGTGTGTGTTCAAGGGGATCTGGGAATGGTTTAGATTCACAAATCAGCCCGGCAGATGGCACTGCAGTCGGTACTTTCATACTTTGCTTAATATCCTAATCGCTTTAAATATCATGCAGGACAACGTCTGTCGGGTCCACTAGTGTTTTTATAATAAGACGAAGAGGAAATAAGTAGTGCCTTATTGGCTATTAAAAAGAGTGGCGGAGAGTTTATTGCCAGTTCTCTTACGTTCTACGCCCTTGATTTGAGAACTGGCAGTAAATGTAAAAATAGAAGGATTTAATATTTCCTTTTGACGTTCATAAGTGTACATTGTGTTACCTATATGAATAAATGATTTTGACTTTTTTTTTATTAAAACCCGCCTTCCCCGTCCCCTTATACTATTATTTTTAAACTAATCCAAAAGGTGGAGTGCTTGGTAAATCTCTCATGTTATTTACGAAATAATAATAACTAAATATAATTTATTGAGACTTAATAGAGATTTGAAAGTTATATACACGAGTATTACACATTTAAATGGATATAGAGAGTGTTCGGATTAATACCGGCAGGTGAGTTTCATCATCGGACGTCGAGGCAGAATACGAAATTCCACCCGTATCACCTCGACGTCCGCCGTTCCACAACTGAGCGATTTTCAATGCAGTTTTTACCGCGCATTACCACTATGTGGAACCAGTTTCCCACTGCAGTATTTCCGAACCTATTCGACTTAGGGTCCTTCAAGAAAAGAGCGTACCGATTCTTAAAAGGCCGGCAACGCATTGGCGAGCCCAATTAACACCACATGATGGCACCTGCTCGTTTGTCCCTGCCCCTGTTCTATAAATAACATCGTTTTCAGTCTATTGATTAACTTCAAAACGTCGAATTATGTAATAACATTTATAACCGTTTAATTTAATTTTTCGTGATTTTATACCATTTTTTATAGAAATTTATAAACAATGTATTTTATAAAAATACAGTTTTTTAAATAAAACTTAACTTAGATTTTCAACAATCAAAAACAATTTTTTCTCAACATTTGCCTTTTAACCTTCACTCAAGGCACCTTAAACTTCACACTATAAACATATCACATATATATCACTAAAATTTGTTTATTTATGTCAAAGACTTGTGAGCTAACATTATAAGTAGCAGACGAAAACTCATTTTTTATACGAGTATATGTCGGAGCATATATCTGTAGCTGTCACTGCCATTTTAATTTAAAACAACAAAGTCAAATTAGTCAAAACTGTTCTGTGGTTTATTTGATTTGCCAATATTAACAGATCTTAACAATAATTTTAACAGACTATTTTATAGTCTGTAGTAATATTATTAAAGAAACATATCAGAATGAGCCTAGTAGACTATAATTGGGACGGCTGATGGCGACGTGTATCTCGTTCGTATATACATATGAAGTTTCTCATGTAAAATAAATTATTTTTTGTAATGAGAGTGTTGGCCTAGTGGCTTCAGCGTGCGACTCTCATCCCTGAGGTCGTAGGTTCGATCCCTGGCTGTGCATCAATGGACTTTCTTTCTATGTGCGCATTTAAAATTTGCTCGAACGGTGAAGAAAAACATCATGAGGAAACCTTAGTTTTAGACCCAACAGTCGACGGCGTGTGTCAGGCACTGAAGGTTGATCACATACTTGCTTGATTTAAAAATGATCTTGAAACAGATTCATAAATCTGAGGCCAAAACCTAAGAACTGATTTTTTTCGTAATGAGAAATAAAGTTATTTAAACATTATAATCTTTATTATTAAAGTAGGAATGGCAGATACAATTGTTCCGACTTTTACATTTAAGGGACATATCGATGTCGATACGTAGAGACCAGGGGGAAATGTATATGTATACATTTGGGGAATATCATGAAAGTGGATGAAGCAAGAGAAGTTTGTCAGTGGATCCCTGATCTCTACGTACCCCTTTGGGTAAAAGGCGTGAATATATAAATAAATAAATTTGAGATACATTTTTTCTTCATCAATTAAATGTTTCATTCCGAAACCAAATCGGCGGACATATTAGCTTCAATTTGTGAGAAATCAATGAATGAATCCGCGACGCTCGAACAGATTATTCATTTGAATTTAAAACATCATTAGTAGGCAATGTGAACGAAGTCATAAATTTAGTCCATACAAACTGTGTATGAATATTAATTGTATGATAAGCGTTGCTAAGGCATTGCAAATAGAATTATAACCAGACATTTATATTGTTCAATGATAATTTACCATTTGTGTCAATAAATACGATAGTGAACAATGATTCATTTATTTTATGTTTTTGTCGACAGGTCAGTGAATGTTTTAAAGGGACGAAATTATATGTGTTGAAATAATAAACCGATTGGAGATCTAAAATTATTATACATATGCAAAGAACATAATAAATCAACATTACGACCTTTTTTTAGGTCTGGGCCTCAGATTTCTGTATCTATTTCAGGATCATTGTCAATCAAATAAGTAATCAGCCTCCTGTGCCTGACGGTCGACTTTTTGAGTCTAAAGCAAAGCAGTTTCCTCACGATGTTTTCTTTCACTGTTCGAGCGAATGTTAAATGCGCACAAATAAAGAAAGTCCATTGGTGGACAGCCGGGGATCGAACCTACAATAGGGATGAGAGTCGCACGTCGAAGCCACTAGGCCAACACTGCTCACTGAATGCAAAGCACATAATATAAAGAATTAGAAAAAAAATATAGAAATACGAATATTTCATATACGATACGCCTTATCATATCGTAATATATCGTTTTCTTAAAAAAAAAATATTTGATTAAAAGAACTTCTATTGTTTTTGACAACAACCGTGTCGAGTAAGAGTCTACTCACACTTATTCAGCTCTATTCAGCGTTTGTCGATAGAAAACAACGATTTTGTATGGAGACGTGTACGCATCCATTCAGCTTTCCGCGTCAATTCAGGTTTCGCGGCAAATCAGTATAAAATGAGGATGTGTTTTTATCATGCGTCTGCTATAGAATGCGTTCAGCGCTGTTCCGCCGCATTCAACGTCGCACGCTATGATGGCTTTTCTCATTCTTACGACGCCGTACACAGCTGATAGAAGCAGAGCTGTATAAATGTGACCAAAATCGTTCAGGAAAACGCGAATGGAGCTGAATAAGTGTGTTTAGTCCCTAAGAGTATAAGTTAGAAATTTATTCCAATCCAATACATAATTTGATACTTGAAATTATCGCTTTCGTGAATTTTGATTAATATACGCATATAACGTGTTCTGCAGTTCGATTCCCGGCAAATTAATATTAATTTAAATTTTCGTTTTCTGTATTTTTTCGCATTGTGTAAGATTTATTTTTACTCGCAATTAAGGCTCGCTTAACTTTACCAATTCGATTTTTCATTTTGTATGTAATGGAAAATCTCTAAAACTATAGAAAATATTTATAAAAAATTACACCATCATAAAACTACATTATTAGCCATTATTATATCTATATCACCAGGATACGAACAGTGCAGCATTAATGAAAATTGCTAAAACGGAAAAAAATATTTCCTTCCGAGACCTTCCCGCAGTTTCGTTGAAAACTCTATATGCAGATCGATTAGAAAATAGAAAAAATCTTTGCTGGATAGCACTTCTATTGAAGAAGGCTATAGGCTAATTAACACAGGAAGACCAGTGTTCAAGTAGTCTAAAAAAATTTAAATCTGACCTGGTTTGTCGTGAGGTCCCACTGGTCTGCTACAAAAGACTGGCGACTATACAGGAATACGGGTACTTGGTGATCTTTTACTGGTGCTGGATCAGTGTTCACTCGTACTACCGTAAGGTGAGTGGTCGTCGTTCCAACTGAAAGGTTTCAATAATAAACTAACGGATAGACGAAGAAACGTTATGTATCTGTTGGTTACAGAAGTACTCATGTTTACTGCTTAATGCTCATAGCACTTGATTAGTTTAATTCTAAAAACTCACAAGTCGATTTGTGAATTTCCAATTTTTTTGAGATGCAATAGAATTGTTAAGTTGACAGTTGCGTACCTTTATTTAAGAAGCTAAAATTGTATCTCTTCCATGTATTTACATTTTAGAAAATCCTTATTCGTGCACAGAAACATAGATAATTTTAAGTTGAAGTAAGAAGTAGACATGGGGAGAAATTGGCTGTGCCAAAAATCAATCTGGAACTGTTTAGGAAAAACACCTTTCGTATGGCAATTAAGGTTTAGAAAAATTTACCAAAAGAATTAAAAGATCTTCCGACTGATCGATGCCGATGATTATGCGTGAGACATAAATTTAATAAGGTATGATATGATATGTACGATACAAATTATATAAGAATTGACTTTGACTAATAATGTAAAATTCCTTAAGACAAATTTGGGCGCCATTGTGTGTGGCAGAATATGCGAACTTACGATTATACCATTTTTACACATTTTTGTACCATATTCTTGCAATAAATAAATTATTATTATTAAGATAGATTAGTAAGCAGAGTAATGCTTCTGCGTGACTCTCATACCCGAGGTCGTGGATTCGAACACCACCTGTGCAATGTTTTCTGTAAGACAGAAATCTCGTCGAAATTCGTGAGGAAACTCATAATGCCTTAGATCAGGTCAACGGCGTGTGTCAAGCAAAGGTGGATCACCTCAGTGCCTTTTAAAAAGACAAGTTACCACGAAACATGTAGAAATCTAAGGCCCTGAACAAGGGTTGTATTTTTATATATAATACTAGCAAACACGGCCAAGCGTTGCTGTGGCTAAGGTTTTTGTTATAAATAGTAGTAAACTATTTAAGGGAATCGGTAGGAGAACAACTCATGGGGACCACCATTCTTTTTTTGGTGGTTATGCCATTAAATTGTAGCTTATGTGAAACGTTGGTACTTTCAACACAGCGCAATCTGTTAGAATTGTGACTATCAAATAATAAACAAATAATTTGCAATAAAACAATATTGCGGGTATAAATTAGGATGAAAGCAATCCTATCTTTTAAGTTAGATCAAACTGCACACGGTGGGCAAATTTGATTGAAATTGAAGTAGTTTAGGAGTCCATAGCGGACAAACAACGTGACGCGTTATTTATATATTATACTAGTGGACCCCACAGACGTTGTCCTGCATGATATTTAAAGCGATTAGGATATTAAGCAAAGTATGAAAGTACCGACTGCAGTGCCATTTGCCGGGCTGATTTGTGAATCTAAACCATTCCCAGATCCCCTTGAACACACACAAAAAATTTCATCAAAATCGGTCCAGTCGTTTGAGAGGAGTTCAGTCACATACACACGCACAGAAGAAATATATATATTAAGATAAAGCAAAACGAGCTCAATTCTAGTTTTCATACCTAATATCAAATTATCTTCAACTTAATGTGGCAGTCTCGCTAACTTTCTTTGTCTAAAGCGTAATTTATATAATTCGTTAAAAAATAAAGACAATTGAATAAATATGAAACCGTTATACGAATACATTATATTAAATTCTCCGAAAAAGGTAAATTAATTCTAATATATACAAAGAAGATTCAATTTACTAAGGCCGCGCAATCAACCCACGTTCCGATATTTTAGTAACAAAAGAAATTAAGAAAATACACGTAAAGGAATATGAAACCGAATCAAAGGCCTCTTTGACGAACAAAACAATTCTATATTTAAAGTATTATTATTAGAATCTTATTTGTTTAAATAATTTTTTATTGACGCAAAAATACCTATTTAAAATTCGATCTTACAATTACGAAAATAAAGTCCATTTCAGTAAAACCATATTAAGCACTCAAACGGGTAAATGTTAAGATGATAATTATATAGCTAATTTATGTTAATGTCTTGACATTCAATAAAATCGTATAGTAGTTATGTTTAAAATTATTTTATTTTGTAAACTTTATGTTAAAAATGTTAATTAATGCGATACCTGCTGCTTTTACGCATTTCTAAATTCAAACCTATTACTACGTCTTAAGAACAGTCCAACACCTAACAATTGACTGCGCATATTGCACCGGATCGGGTTCAAAATGTGGATGCAATGGAGAGATTGGGTCTACGGGTTCAGGCAAGAAAATGAGGCGAAAAACACAACTTTTGGATGTACTGCGCGAGCACTCCAACTTGGTTAGCGAGGCGCCACTCACGCGAGTAATAAATGTAATAAATAAGATTTCTATCGAGGGAGACCTATTTATTTGTACACTGGCTGACTTCACAAAACCTGCTGTTATGTTATTATTTATAACTTATAAGATCTATATATATATAATCTAATATATTTAAGTGTAGAATTATCGGTGTAGGTATTATTGTTGGTAGAACTACTATCGTATTATATATAAAAGATAAAATGCATTTTTAATTATGTACTAAAATCAATGTCAAAATTATCTTAATTAAATGTTATACATGATAACAGTATATTGTGGTATTATCAGTCTGGCGCTTATCGGAGTTTATTTACCTAACATTTGACCTCATATCGTGATATTTTACTAGAACTTTTGAGAGCCGCTGAGCCCTTGGTAGACCTTTGTACTTTTGCTATGCTATTTGTTTGTACACTGGCTGAGTTCACAAGAGTTGTTTCCTATATTATTAGTTATAGGATTTAGGTATATAAATATATATTTTTTTAATGTTTTTTATCTAGGTTAATTTGTGTGGGTATAAATATTGTGTCGTTCTATCGAATTAATTAATAAATTAATAAAATTAATTAATTAATTATTTTCAATTCTTATGAGAAATAAAGTTATTCTTAAACCAAATTAGTAATTACTGTAAAGATAGAATAATGATATGTAATAAAATAAATAAATAAAAAAAAAGTTCTTAAATGGGATCTCTGTAACTACAGGGACCAGGGAGGGGATAATATTTTGGATATATGTCGGCTCCTGCATTATTTATTAACTATGTATAATGTCAGTATTGAAAAAAAAACAAGGTTGACTTTTATACAATATATATCGTGTAAGTTTGATGTGTATGTGGCATCGTAGTTACTAAACGAATAAAATGCTTTTAATTTTTTTTATTGTTAAAAAGTTGACGTGGTTATTAGCTATTATGATAATATTTTAATGTTTCAGAACAACTATCAGTATCAGCTCTTCCATAGCTGCGGCAGAATGAATATTTAATATTATTTATAGTCTCGTCTAATTATTTTATTTATGTTCACATTCGTTGATAATAAACACATTACTAATGAGCTTAGTAATTAAGTCGTGTTAAGTTAATGTTCGTTTAATGAGCGCATTGAAATTTCAAATAAAAAATAATTAGTTAGCATTTTGTATCTAGAGCGACAATTGTCGTTGAATCGATAATTGGATTGAGATTAAGTTATTTTTTTAAGGAGTAGGACTAACTATGTATTGGTAATTTAGATGCCGTATAGCTGTGGCAACAATTAGTAGTGATATGATAATTTTGTGTAAATACACAACTTTCTTTATACGAAAATTATCAATGTAAATCAATGAATGTCCGACCGATGCCCTATTGTGGGTTACACGACTTTTAATCTGTCAGGATAGGTCGTTATAAATATTCTAAGAACACAGTTTACCCCCTAAACATGGAAGACATAGGCATACATATGGAATATGTACGCTTATGTCACATAAGTTTCTCCGACGTTAGTTCTTTTAACTTATAAACAATTATTCGATAATTTAATAAAGTATTACCAGTTAATGTGCACATTCGTCTAGAGTTTATATCTTGCATAACCTGCCGCATGAGTCCATTCAGCTCTTTGGCATCTCCAGATAATGATTGCTTTGATAGCCATTCCGTTTCTAATTCCATTGATAACTGTTGACAAGTAACATTCGTTAACAACAAAACAAATTTAAATAAAAAAAAATATAAATGTATTGACAAATTTTATTAATTTTTAAATTTAGTTACATAAAAATATAATATTTTATTTCACATCTTTTGTTGAGTGTTATTTAAAAATATATACATATATACCTAACTAACCAAATATTCTGTAAGTTTCTTGACAAGTGGTTCCAAGTGCACTGTTCGGGCCCAGGCATCACACACAAAACACAGGTTAAAGTAATATGCATTGCGGGCATACTTTTTATTGTCAATCCTGACTGGAAAACCAAGGATTTTTGAACCCAAAAGTGTACTGCAATGAATAAACATGAAAATTAATTTAGTATTGTGAATGTTTGATGAGATTGATAAAAATATTTTCATTTGTGAGAGAAAGTTATCTTAATACAAATAAATATTATTCGAATTGGTTTTAATTTAATTTTGAATATTGTACTTATCAATAGCTTCAATTTTATAAAATTACTCTGAAATTTTTTGCCGCCCACCACCACTATGTGGAACCAGCTGCCCACTGAAGTATTTTCGAACCAATTCGACTTAGGGTCCTTCAAGAAAAGAGCGTACCAATTTTTAAAAGGCCGGCAACGCACTCGCGAGCCCTCTGGCATTGAGAGTGTCCATGGGCGGCGGTATCACTTAACATCAGGTGAGCCTCCTGCCCGTTTGCCCCTTGTTCTATAAAAAAAAATATACTAAAGTAATGGTATGAGATATATTATTTTACTTACACGGTGAGGGTGCATCTTTGCAATTGCACCTTTGGTATGATATAATGACTGACAGTATCAAAAATCTCTTTAGAAATATAGTTCTCGGGGACTTGGCAAGTAATTCTTGGCCCGGCTGTTGGATGGAATTCACACAAAAATATACATCGAATTGGGCCCTCCTGACCGCAGCCCTCGTAAAACTTAGAGTTTCCCTCCATTTTCTGACACACTACATATATATTAACTATAAACTAACACCTGTCACTCAATCATTAGAACTAAGCATAGTTAATCAATTCTATGTAAATAAAAACTTGTTTCGTAAATAATAAACCATAACAATACACAACACTCATCAACACAACATCCCAAGAAAAACTACCAAAAAAACTATAGGTAACGTCGAATGTCGATTTGATCGAGATTTGACAGCTTAAACGACAATGTACTGATAATGTCGCGGACATGAGACAGAAGTTTTGACTTTGAAGTTTGCACCTTTATTACTGACTGTCGTCTGTCCATGACAATTGTCAAAATTATGATTGTAATTGATAGTAAATTACAGCTGATTTCTGTTTACATGTTATAGCTTTCTAAATAAATACGAGGGCATATTTAAATTGTTTTCAATGCAAATAAAAATAATAAAATCAAAAGAAAAAAGGTAATTATGGAAAAGAGATCTTTTAACCTTGTTATAGGTGTTACTGGAAGTGTAGCGGCATTAAAACTACCGATTCTGGAGAAAAGTTTGATGGAATTAAATGAAAAACTACAGGACTATAAATTTCAAGTAATGTATTTAAATTCCATTATGTATTATACAAAATGAATTTACTTTTTGCAGTTTATAATTTGATTATTAATTATATTAAAAAGATTAAGAATATTTTGAAGAAATTGTTAAAACTTTGATTACTTCAAAATAAAAAAATTACAGATCCATGTCATAGCAACTGAAAACTCTAAACATTTTTTTCAAACTGATGAGATAAAAAGTAAGATTTATGATGATACTTGTGAATGGGACACATGGAAGAAGAGAGGTGATCCTGTTATGCACATAGAATTAGGTAAAATGGCTGATATGATGGTTATAGCACCTCTTGATGCAAATACATTGGCAAAATTATCAACGGTAAATAATTATTGCTTTATTTAATTCATTGCGGAAAATAAACTTATCTTTCTAAACGCATCATTGAGCTTCATTATATATTTGAGTTTAATTAAAAAATATAATTAATGATAATTATTTTCAGGGTATATGTGATAATATGCTTACCTGCACAGTCAGAGCATGGGACTTTAAAAAACCATTACTATTCTGTCCAGCTATGAACACTCGAATGTGGGAACATCCAATCACAGGAACACAAATTGCACAATTGAAGAGTTGGGGATATGAGGAGATACCACCAATAAGCAAAGTGTTGATGTGTGGAGATGTTGGAGTAGGTGGAATGGCTGAGGTTGGCACCATTGTGGAAAAAATTAAAGAAACAGCAGACAGGCTGTTTAAGGCTTTATAAGCAAAAGGGATCCTGATTGGCACCACTGGATAAAGTACCATTGCATTTACACCCTCAAAATGGAGATATTTTTTTATATATTTTCTATATAGATATTATATGTTTGAAAAATGTGATGTGAATTTTTAATTAAATAAAAACCATTGTAAAATGTATGTTTATTGCATCACTGAATACTGTCTCTAACGCTAGCGTACATGCAATGAGCGAAAATATTAAAACTTTAACTACACATCACATACACCATTACAGGGAAATTGTTCCTAATTTGAGATTCAACACATTCATTGTAGATTGGAAGTGACTATGCTTTTTTTTAAATTCTAAACCAATGCATTTTAAAAGTAGTATGGCCTTAATAATTGCTTCTTAGTTAATTTTGATTGAAAGTTTAAATTTCTATTATCCATGCAGTTAATAATTTTTTTAAATTTTACCAAATAAATTTACCAAACAATATTTTGTCACACTTCCAATCTCCAACAAAATCCCTATTAACTTCATCAATCAACAAATTATTAACAACCACTTTTTGTGCCAATAGCCTTTAACCCTGTCACAAACCAGAACCGTCTTCTTACCAAATAATAACACTACTCAATATTGTGCGGAAAGCACCTAATTTGCAAAACCACATTATTCTGAGTATTTTCCAAAATATCCTTGCTTGCCAATTTAGAATTTTATATGCATAGGATAATTATTCAAAATTTATAATGCGTTTTCACACTAATACAAACAGTGCAAACTGGAAATAATATATTATTTTAATTCTCCATTAAATAAATTTAACTTAAAGTATGGCAACACTTATCCGAAAAAAAACAATATTTCAGGTTAAAACTCAAGTTTCTTGAGATATACTATATTTACACTACCAGCTCCAATTCAGTTCAGTGTTGCTATACAAATAAAATTATTTACAAAACATTGGAAAAATGAATATCTCTAATCAGATCAGTTGCATTCAATCCCATTTTAAATGAATAAAATAAAAGGTCATCAAAATAAACTGTGCAAAATTAACTAATGTCATGAAGGTGTCTTCTATAAGACTATGTTATTGTAGATAATAAAATGAAGATCTTTAACATCAGCGTATCACAATGCGGTAATTTAACAAGCGAAATATTGCCATGTAAAAATTTTAACATACTTTGAACTATAACTATCATTAGGTACAAATGCTAAATATAAATGCACAAAAATCGTTCGCGCAAATCACAGTACAATCGTGATTATTATCTATTTCCCAACATACATCAAATACCAAATGTGTAAAAAGTAGACAATTAAAAATATGTGCGTATTTTAAGGCTTAGGCATATCAAACTTTTATCTTTTAAAAGTAAATCTAGCTTTAAATTAAAAAATTGCGGCTTCATCCAAACTTCAATCATGTTCATTTTTTTGTAATTTATTACATAATCATGGATACAAGTTCCTCAGTCATTCACATTTGATACATCTTTGGGCTGCCAGACATATTACATTAAATTATACAGCGTCTGCAAACATGTATGGACCCCAGTTAAAATTGTTATACGTATCTGGCAGCCCTGGATACAAACCAAGATAAAAAAAGTAGTATAAAAACGCCACAAAATACAGTTTCAAATTTTCTTTAGTCTCATTTTGGTATTAAAAAAACTTTTTAGGTCGTTTAAATACGGGTTAAAAATCCTGTATAGAAGTCGAAAATTGTATATTTAAATAGCAAAATATGCGTGGAATGAACCGTGGGCGTATCAAATGCTTATTCTATCGGTACAAAATCTAAGTGTAGGCTATATTTTGCTTAATATGTATCAGAATATACTTTGTACATTTAATACTGGCTATAAACTAACGGACATTACATTTGTAATTTCGTGAAATATGCAAAAATGGCAACACACAACTAGTGAACGGTGTTGCTAAGCGAAAAAATAAAAAAGTCGCTATTGTTTAGGGAATACGCACGATTAATATATGGTCCACCATAATTATTTGCCACAAATTATAAAAATATGATTAGGTTGTTGTAGATTATTTTTTCAAATTTTAATTAATAAGTCGTATTAAATATAAAAAGTAAACGCGTATTCCCTCTTGTAATATTGAAAATACTGCGACGACAGACGCTCATACAACCGTTTCATTTGTTTTGTCAAACATCGCCCGCGTATATTTCGATATCACATCATACGTAGATTTGATCAGTTCACACCTTTCTTCCACTTGGTGATCAGTTGGGGCGACCTTGTAGGTGGAACTTTTGGGTTTACGGGTTTGAAAATCACAAAAGTCAATATTATCTTCGATGTTGTATATTGCGATCGGTTTTTTGTGCACCATTTCTAGGTCTTTGCGACGTTTTTTATTAACGCCGCAGCGTTCGTTGATAGACATGACCGCGTTTTGTACTGAGAAATCCAGCTTGTCGCTGGATTCCAGCTCATATCATACATCCAGCTCTTCTAAGCCTTTGGATAGTCTGTGGGAGTTGATTCGGCGTCTTTGCGAGCGTCTAACAGCATCGGCGCGTCTATACGGCTCACTTCGTAATCCGTGTAGTATGTCCTCTAAGGCACCATTGTATACTTCGTCCTGTAGGAGTAGTTTCTTTTCGCCGACAGCCTGTGATTTCGTTTTTAATTCGTTGATGACAGCTTCCTGCAAATTTGTATAGGATTAGTAAGAAAAAAACTTGCGTAAGATGTGTGGGCACTATACAACAATATTTTCGGAATTGTGGATTTGGAAATTGTCAGGAAAATATAGGACAAACTATTTACATCTAATATGCACAAACAACATTATTTTCAAGCGGTGTTTTCGTGCATTATGGCGGATAAGTAAATACCATAGAGAATTTACAAACATGACAAATAAATGCTTACTAAAGTATACCTTTTAAGTAACTAATTTATTGTTTTGAAGCAAACAGAAATAGCGTGATATATATTGCTACAGAAATACTTATTTTTCCAATTAATACAAATTATTACATAACTAGAATACACAAGATTTGTAAAAAGTGCGTAAATACAATTAGTATTTGAAAAGTAACATGCCCTGTACATCCATGCAGTGCTGCATTGGAAACAAATTCACATTATAAATATAATAAGTAAGTCATCTTGAAGTGAATGACTTCACAACTCAAACTAAGAAAAATACAATTTAATAATCTAATATATAAAATTCTCGAGTAACAATGTTCGTTCCCATACTCCTCCGGAAACGGCTCGATCGATTCTTATGAAATTTTTTATGCATATTCAGTAAGTCTGAGAATCGGCTACTATTTATCTTTGAAATCCCTAAGTGATAAGGGGTGTCCACCCGAAATTGTTATTTTATTTTATAGAATTTCTTTTTTTGTTTGTATTTTTTTATAATACAGCATACAAAAAATATACATACATCTAACCCTTAATTGTCACCCCTCTACGATCAACCCCTATTTTTTATTATAGTAGATAGTTATTTTTATTGATCTAAATAATGTTTCCTAGAAATAATATACATGGTCAGTTCATCTAGTTACCCTATAAAATTAATCAAACAACAATTCTAAGCTATCATAGACTCAATATTCTAGCATTTAAATAAAACGACCAGAAATATTATGTAATGAGAGTCTGCGAGTCAGAGTGCGTCTCAAAGTGTAAGATTTCATTCGAAAATCGTGACAGTTTAACGAATCAAGGCCGACTTCTTACATTCTCACAATTCCCCTTAAAACCAGAGTGTCATGGTTTGTGTGCATGCTATGACCGCGTGAGTTTTAAAAAAGCTTGAGTGCTTTTGGATAACATGCTTTCATTAGTTACCCTTTTTAATTGGTGTTTCTACCAAACTTTCCGAATTACAATATTATCTTCATTTTTATACACCTTGTTTTTTGCATTACATTGGTATGTTTATATTAAATGCATTTAGATTTTGGAATTTTTGAGAGAAGTGTTGTTTTTGTGCATGGGAGGGTGGGACCCTCCTCCCTGAGGTTGTAGGTTCGATCCCCGGCTGTTCCAATGGACTTTCATGGACTTTCTTTCTATGTGCGCATATAACATTCGCTCGAACGGTGAAGGAAAACATCATGAAGAAATCGGCTTGCCTTAGACGACGGCGTCAGGCTTAGGAGGCTGATCACTTACTTACGTATTAGATTGACAAATGATCATGAAACAGATACAGAAACCTTAAGCCCAGAACTAAAACGATTGTAGCGCCACTTATTATGTTGAACAAATAGCTTATCGCCTATAGACAAAATTGCCCTGCCGATTGGAATACTTTACTAAAGCCTGAACTGAGGATGACATTAAATCCTGTTATAAATTATGTAACGTTAGTAGCCTGTGGCGTGTAGAATTTAATCTGCCACATGCACAGAGGTCACAATAAACGCCGTAGATCGCTGAGGGCGGTTTAAGGGATGAATTAAATACATTTTCAATTGATATTTCTAAATAAAAAAATACTCTTATACAACACCAATTAAAATAACTAAATAAACCCGAGGTTAGTACACACAGGGGACCCGAAACAGACTTACGTCATCTAGACAGAGTCTAAACTGTGTCTCAACTGAGACAACTGTTGCTGCAAGAGGCCGGCGCTGACGGCCGCGTAGTTAAACCTCTGTGAGAATTAACATGGTGTTACCATCACCAGATACGTTTATGTAAATATGGCAACATTTCTATAACACTGACAAAAACTCTGATGCTGAAATAACATGATCCTCGTAAGGAAATTTGACATTTATTTTCGTTTAAACTCCTTAAAGTGACTTTAAACTTTATTTCAAAACAGTATTGAAATTATCTTATATACCTTATAATTTAATGACTTAAAAAGTGTTGATATATCTAGAAAAGGTGCACTAAAAACAAAATTAAAAAAAAATGTTGCCATATTCACAAAACCATCACCATACTAATGAAATCACTCTGATTCAAGATGACAAACCAACTAAAAAAAGAAACCAAATCATTGCAAAAAATATATGTGTTCAAAAATGTGTAAAATAAATGACATTTTAACAAATTTTTTATTAAAAATTTTAAAAATTTGCAAGTGATCAGATTTCACGACAAAAATTAGTCGAAAATTGTGTAGCAATATTAACAGTTAGGTTCAAATTATTGACACGTAAATATTGCTACGCATCAAATCTACATGAAATGCAAAAATTATTATAAAAATGCAACTACTAAAACGCACGATTCCAAACACTAATTAAGCATTAAAGCTATTAGTTTTACGATTATATTAAAATGTTGAATTAGATTTTTTTGAAATGAGAAGTAATTAAATCCTGAAATTTCGTTAATTTACGTACCATTAAAAATCTTTCAAAAATACAATACAAAAAGAATCTTTAAACAACGCGGTCGCTTTAACGGTAAGAAAATATCTGTGGCATTACTTATCCAAAATTAATGTTTCAAAATTTTCCAAAGAAATATTCAAATAGACCTGTCACAGACAAAACCTAACTATGTGATCTTAACACAAAAAATACTTATTCACCAAACTAAAAATCGTGACAAGTATTTTAGAAAATTTGTACTGTGAGTTATAATTCAAATATCTTTTAAAACATCATCTATGTATATAATTATAATTCTTTATGAGCTGTGAGTTTTAAGCTAATTTAAGTAACCAAAGCTTATTTCACATATCTGTACATAGCCAAATAATTAATTTGTACATTATACGTAAAGAAAATTCACAAATCCCTTCGATTATAATAGCGACTGGAATCCATATGAACCAAAAAATAAGCAGGTCATAGGTCGATTCAGAGTCGAGACTTACTATCACTTTCGTATGACAAAATTCAATATATTTTGATGTACTCCCGTACGTCAGACTTAAGTCTCGTCTCCGAATCTTACTTTTACTATTTAATAACCCATAGTTTCGTTAGTATTTGGAACTAAACGGAACCAATCAAGTATTTCGAACAAATGTTCTTCATTTCTTTTCTACTAACGAATTCTATGTTTTATTGGAATCGGATAGCGCTAAATGTATTCGGGAATCTGTGAATTGCTTTAAAATGTTAAAAGGTTAGGTTATACAATGAATACCTGTTGTTTCTTCTGTACGAACTTGACTTTGTTAGGGTCGACGTGGTCAGCTTGCTGCGCGGCCATTTCTAGTCGACGACGCTGCTCGTTCTCTATGTCCGCTTGCTAAATTAATAATAAATAATTGTTGTGCTTGTTTTGCTAAACACTTATGAATGATCTATATAGTAATAACAAAAAATGTAACCAACTCCAAAATACACTCATCTTTATTTGTTGATTGTTCTAACTAAGCCATGACTAAGGGAATTAAAATTATAAAGTGTTAAGTAGTTTATTCATATAGGAAGTCTTTTTAAGTATAGGGCGTTCAAGTATTATGTAACGAATTTATTCCTCTTATAAACCGTTACGATGCGAGGCGGGGATTGAATTGCGCGTTACTTATTTAATTATTCGTTATTGCTAATATTAACTTCGACTTTCCGGTACTTTACACGACCAAATGGTAACTTTTAGGTATAAAGAGTCACTGGTTGGTCACGAAACGTTTTACTATTGAGTACAGAAGAAAAAGGTTACGGCGCGTTACATGGGGCGGGGGGTTAATAATATCTAAAAATTGCATGACGTAATACTTGAACGATCCCTAATACGTTAATTCCTTTGTTTCAGTATGGCTATCAAAGTGTTTTATGTAAAGAGGTTGATATGATTACACATTGATTTTTGTCTTTAATTCTCATGGGTAACGAACCTTAAACGCCCTCGTAAACCTGACGAGAAGCGAGAAGAAAGTATTGGCGTCACAGCCACGTGGCGCCTCGCCAAAGTATTCCACGCATGATGCGAATGAGTCCTGAAAATATAATAAAATACAATTTAAATTATTCAAAAGATACATGGCAACGGGCTTAGCTACTAAGCGATTTCTTCCAGTCCTAATCGTTTCAATTTAAAAGTAATTTAAGAATTATACTGAATAGTTTTTGGTTTACGTTACGAAAGTTTGCCAAAATCAAATGAAAATAAACTTTGGTGTCTGTAAAGTCGGTTTACTGACGATAGTTGAACGTGACAACGTCATAAGAAAATACTAATGGAATGGTTGCATTTTTCAAAAGAAAATTTAAATTTGATTTGTTTGATAGATATTTTGTATGGATATAGAGAAGGAGGTAAATGGAAATCACAATTGAATTGAACAAGTTTCATTTATTTGTACGCATAAATACAATTATGTCAATTATTAACGATTGAACGCCGCCGAACGTGGAGGCCGATTGTGCCTCTTTGTCGCTCGTTTCGCGCTCTCGCTTGCACTTCAAGCCTAAAATGGAACGCCTCAGAGCGAGGTAACGCCGCATGAGTCATGTTTTTTCGTGCGTGCAGCCGGCTCCATCGAATTATAAGACGTTGTCACGTCAAAAAATTATTTATGTTTTAGTTATCTAGTTAGTATTAAAGACAAGAAAACAATTATTATCTTCTGAAATATAAGAAAAAAAAACAAATATTAAAAAACTGAATTTTTACTGTTTTATTTTATTAATTCGAATTCATTTCATTTTTCGATATTATTCATCATACACGCTAAATACATTAGGTATACTATACTAACCTAACCTATATCTTGAAGAATATATGAGCATTGTAAAAAAGTAGTGGTAACCTGTGCATGTTTAGTCTCGTGCCGTAGCCGCCGTAGCTTGTCCGCCGCGTTCGCGATAAAGTCCCTCAGTACGTGCGCGTGCGCAGATCGATGCGTGTCCCGCGCTTCACTTTCGCGTCTCGCCGCTTCCATACCGCGCTCCAGTTCTGCTACGTCGGCTAAAACGTTCTCTAGCGACACTGAAAAAAAATTAATTGCATAAAATACATTTTTTATATTATATCTGTACCTACATGGGATTTCATAACTGTCTGGAAATAGAAATACCACTTCTAAATTATTCAATGTGAATTAAATAACACTCTCAATTGAAGATGGGTCGCGAGTGCGTTGCCAGCCTTTTAAGAATTGATACGCTTTTTTCTTCCAGATATACTTCATTGGGCAGCTGGTCCCAAATGGTAGTAGTGCGTGGCAACACTGCCTTAAAAACGCTCAGTTGTGGAACGACGGACGTCTAGGTGATACGGGTGGAATTTCGCATTCTGCCTTGACGTCCGATGATGAAACTCAGTTGCGGGCATTAATCCGAACACTCTCCATGCTAAATTCGGTAGAAGATGCAGAAAGACATCTCTACGCAACGCCAAAGGATCAAGACGCTCAAAAAGTGACTTGTCGTAAACGATTCGTTGTGGAGGGAGCTCCCGCCCAGAGAAAAGAAGATTACTTCACGTGGAGTACTGATCTCACCTGTGTATTTAATATGAAAGACATTTAGAAATTGGAAGCCTAAAAAGTTCAAGTCATATTAAACTGATAACCAACCAAAAAAACTCACCTTGAGCGGCCTTGTCGATATACAACAGCTCCGTATCAAAGCTCAGCAACTCTGGGAAGTTCTGCCTTATCGTCGCCACGATATAATGCAGCAACGACACCCTCTTATCCGTCGACTTCGTATCCATTAACGTATCTAAAGATTGCAACTTGAAGCCGTACGCCGGTCCACGCTTGCTGCTGTTCAAATAATTCCCAAACGCGAGAATAATCTCCAAGACGTTCCTCAATTTCTGGGAAGATTTGACCGAGGAGGAGCCGGATATTATCGCGTGTATCTGTGGTGTTATTAAGTGAATGTTGTCGAAGAAATTTCCCATGTAGCTCATGATGGACAGTTTGGCCGAGATCCTCTCGACTTTGGCGAGTTGCATCAGGAATTTGTCTTCCTCTGTTAATTGGTTGATGTTTTTCTTCTCCGCTACGTATTCCTTGTACGCTTTCTGTTCGGCCTCTGTGGGCACCATGCGTTGAAGGATCTCTACGCTCTCGAGGGGTAGTTGTTTCAGGTCGAGGTTGTTTATTGCTGCAATTACTTTTTCTACCGGCGTGTCGAGTTTCCGCCTTGAGATCGCTGGAAGAATTTTTGGTAGATTTTTATATTAGATAATCATTGCATCATTCACGGTGAGAAAAGTATTGCAGTTTTGTACGTACTTAAGGACTACAAAAATACATATTTTTGAAGTGAAACTTCTTTAGGCGCATCAGGGTAAAATTTTTACGGATGAAACGCAATAATAATAATATTAGCGTCACGAAGATGTGCAGCGTTTTTGTCGAAGAAAAGGGAGAGAGAGATTGAGACCGATTGAGAGAGAGAGAAGGGCGAATCACATTATAGAAATTTTATTTTCTAAAATTAAAATTTTGCGAAATTTGAAATATACAAAATAATTTGTTGAAATCTGAAATGACTAATTGTAAATTAAAATGCCACATGCTTTTATTATCGAAGAAATTAAATTAATAATTTGTATTAATTTTCGACATTTTTAATAATTTAATGACAATTAAATTCATTAAATTCCTAGCATATCTTCCTTTTTCCGTCCCTCTAAGGCTCGGAAATTTTTAGATTTGTATAAATATGAACAAGAGTTAAAAATTAGTTTGCCAAAGAAGTTTTACTTCTGACATGTGTACTATGTACGCACGCACTTTTTTTTAAATTTTTCCAGAAGCGCCGATGTTTGAGAAATTCTGATTAAGCTTTGGAGCACATTCTCTAATTCTTACCGATATTCCTAAGTCGCGTATGTTCAAGTAGGGATAAGGTGTCTGGTTTACGGAATCGTTTGCTTGGGAATGACGTCAGAGTATCGTCGTTGTGTTGCAGAGCTGCGCACGCGCCGCCGATACGGAACTTCTCTTCGAATTCGGAGAAGTTAATCCTTCGACGTGGTCGCTCTTCGTCTAATTCATTGAATATTGTGCCGCGGACCTGTAATTTGATTTAATTATAAAAATGGAAATGAAATCGATAATATGTTTCCTTAAATGCGTAATTTAAAGGAAAATCTTTTCACATATTCCGAAGTCTAATGCTATTTTTCCATACTTACCAATCTAATCACTCTCTTACAATCTACTCCGTCCACTCACCTGATTAGGCTTCAACGCGATCCAGTTCAAGGTTGGCAGCTTATACTTCGTATCCACCTTTCTCTTTATGGTCATTGCGTCTGTGTGATGAGGGGCGGGCATGAGACCAGGCGCTGGAGGGGCCGGTGGGGCGGGAGGAGGGATTAGCACTGGGGGAGGCGGGGGCGGAGGTGGCAAGGGAGGCGAAGGAGCCTGGGGCACCTGCGGCACGGGGGGAACAGGTGGCACTGGAGGGCCAGGTGGTGAGGGGAGTCGAGAATGTACATCCCCATTTGTGAGGTGCGGAGGGGAAACGTGGCCATTGGTTGGACCGTTTTGGATGCTGCCGTTACAGAGCGCGGAGGATATTGCACCCACTGAAATAAATATAGAGTTTTAAATTTATTCCATATAATGACAGTTCAACAACAGTTTTGCAATTGTACAGATTAAGCAATTCTTTATGGCCATAATTTTTGCATTTTACGGAGGCAAACGGGCAGGAGGCTCATCTGATGTTAACTGATACCGCCCCGCCCATGGACACTAACATTGCCAAAAGGCCCGCAAGTGGGAGGCCATAAGCCTGCTGTATCTATTATTATTTATAGTTTTACAATTAATCAAAGCCTAGATTTTTAATTAAATCCAGTTCTAGTTATTCGTATTTTTATTAAGCCCTTTACTCAAAAACGATCCATACTACAGAAGAAAAAAAAAAATCATGTGTAAAATTTTCAGAGTAATATTTTTTATATAGATATGTCTCCCGTATGCCACAGCACTAAGTCTTGACACTGGTTCTTAGGGGTCTGTGGTGTAAAACTTACTTGAGGCACCCCGAGGTAGAGATTTGGTGAGAGATTCCAGCTCTTGCACCTTCGACTCTAACATGGACTGTCTGTTACGGGAATCCTGTTGCGCTCGCCGCAACGTGGACACCTAGATTTTACAAAATATTTATATGAAGTGTCGATATATAAAAATCTCGTGTCACGCAAAATATATGTAGATTGAGATTCAAAGACAATATTGAATGTCGGGCCAAGTCAAGTCTATTCCGAAAGTAGATAGTCTGGCTAACGAAATGGGATACTAGATTTTTTTGCAAACTTTTTATATGACAACACTAAAGTTAGTACGGTCAAAATGTCTTGATATTTTTTTATTTTAAATAAGAACATATTCGTTTTAGTTACTTTAGATAATGTTATTGTTCTTTTACAGGTAGTCTTGAGATTATTAGCCAACGGTTATGAATTTAAGAAAAATAAAAATGAACGTTCATTTTTTTATTTCAATTAATATAATTGAACGATATGATATAGCTGCATGGAGACATCGCTTTTTGCGTACCATTGCATCGAAACGTGCAGAAGGCAAGCCAATAATCTACTTAGATGAAACTTATGTCCACAAAACCTATAAGCCTAAAAATTGCAAGCATCCACTAGTAAAATAAAAATGAATGTCAAAGTATCAAAGTGAGTTGTTCCAACTTTCCTTTTTACTTTAGGGCTGCCATGCTGATATTTTTTAAATTTGCCGCGCTTTTTCAGTATCAACTTTCTTTAGCCAGACTTTACTCTAAAAGCAGAATATTCCAAACATTTCAGTTTCATCATCACTAAAAGGTCTACCAATAAGATTTCCTTTAGAAAGTAAGTAACATTTAATCTATCCGCGTAAATGAATAAAACGCTCAACTAACCTCTTCAACAACCTGTCTTCTTGCTTCGGCGAGGTGGTCCCGCTCTTGCCTAACCTGAGCAAGCTCAGATTCGAGCGTCGCCAGTTTCGCTATTGCATCTCTTTCTAACGCTGCCAGCCTTTCGTGTGCCTGAAAGGGACAAGAGGTCAATAAGTCCAGTTTTTACACGAATATCCATTCAAAAGATAATACTTTTTTATCTAACTAAAACGCATTTGAACTTCTTTACCGGATACTTCTATTTTTTCTCCATTTCGAGTGCATAACAGCAATGATTTGTACTAGGCCAGTTAATACCAGCAAAAACCACTTTTACTGAATACTTTTTAGTGGATAGTGGAAAGATTACATCTGGTCCATACCACAGGCGACTAACGTATCATCATCACTATTAACAACATTCACAAAGGAGCTTTTAGCCAAGGGAACTTGAGTTTTTTATGGGTTGTTATCTTGTAGTAATTTGCGAGCTATTCTTGCCAATGAATATTACTGCTTTTTGAAGGATGATAGATTCGTGTAATTGTTTTGGTATTATTTCGGTGGTGAACAAAATTATACTTTGATAACCACATCCTTTCAATTTCTGATTAAGATTATATTTTTATGATTATGTTTCTTGAGTGTGGTTGTTATGGCGATATCTATTAAATGAACTGTTTCATTGACTTAATCTATCAGTTTTATATCTAGTGTAGTGTATTGATTTGTCTGTGAACATGGCTTTATCAAAGTACAACTTAAGAGTATGAATTTCTAGAATCGTTTCTGGGGTATAATACGGTAGGGGTCAGAGTAAAAAAAAAAGGGTGCGTGTACTTATGTACGCGCGTAAGAAGTTATACTTCTTTGGCATTATTAAAAATAGTTTTTGATTTAATTACAATTAAATAATCAAAGACTGGAAAAGGAGTCATTATAGTCAATTAAGTTCAGTTTACATTTGAAAAATTAAATAAATAATTATTTATTATTATTCTCTTACATTAAGTGTAACATAAATTCTATTTAGTTAAAAGTATATATAATTATATATTTAGAACATCTCTACCAAACACTAAGAAGTATGTTGTAGCTTTGGCAGTATTGCACAATATAAAATTAATAAATTTCTTTTAAAAAATAATCAAAACTCCTTTATTTGTTTAAAAGGTAAATGACAAATGTCATTATGGTCATTCAAAATTCTTGGCGTACGAACTTCACGCATATTCTATTTCTTTTTACTTGTAGATTGTCTTATTCCTATCTCGCTCGCGCACGCTTTAATCACACTCCCAATTTTGTGTCACAGGTGCGCGCGCATCGTAAAATTTCACTCTCATAAATTTTTCATAACGCGCCTAAAGAAGTATAACTTCAAAAAAACAATGGCGTTATAACCTTTTAATGATCATTTTGTTTATCTAATAGGCAAGTTAGATAGAAGAAGGTGATCAGCCTTCTGTGCCTGACGATTTCCCTCGACTTTTTTGGGTCTAAGGCAAGTCGGTTTCACGATCGGCCTCACGATGTTTTCCTTCACCGTTCGAGCGAATGTTAAATGCGCACATAGAAAAAAAGTACAAAGTGCACAGCCGGGGTTCGAACCTACGACCTCAGGGATGAGAGTCACACGCTAAAGCCACCAGGCCAACACTGCTCTAGAGTTTTTAAGTTTATATTTTATTGAACAGTTTCTGGTGTATTATAACTTATAAGTGCAACCTGATCATGACGGTGTTGATAACCGGTTTGAACTAATGGTTTGCAAGTTCCTATAATGTGCTGTGTAGTTTCTGAAGAATTCATCTGGCGTATTTGGTATTTATTATATTATTACTTAAAAAAAACGCTTATCTTTAAATAAATTCCCCCCACATAATCCATTTCTAGAAAATAAAAACTTAAATATAAAAAAGTCTCACATGTCCCAATTCGTCTTCGAGTTCGTTGACCTTTTCGAGAGCAGCTGTTTTGGTTTCACTGTCCTCCATGAGAGCGGCTACGTCGAAAACATTGTCTAGGTACGCTGATATTTGTACCTGGAATTATATTTAATATATAAATTAAATCAATTTTAATTACTTGGCTCAGGGAACAAAAATAATGAAAATTGTTTTAATTTTCCATTTTTAATAATTATTATTATTACTATGATTATAGAATGTTGTAATTACTTCGCATAAATAAAAAAAACGTCTCTTTTTTTTAAATTTTAACTAAAAATTATGATAATCGAATGGATTTTATAATCTAGTAAAGAAAAATATAATTATTAGAAAATATACTTAATTTTGTAAATTTAAATCGACCATTTCATAATATATTTTATTGTAAAGTGTTTACGACCTGAAACCAGGCAGCTATCATACAAGAACAGTAAAATTGTCGTAAATTGGTTATTATGGATCAAAATATCGTACAATCTGCGTATTTTACTATCTATCAATATAAATAATTATCGAACGACTGGGAGCCCTGTAGTAAACCAGAGGCTCTTTTATCTCTGACTTTTAATAAATTCAAGAAATGTATTAAAGAAAAGCAGTAGCTTACTATAAAGTTAATGATTATCTAGTTGATAAAAGGGCCTGGGACTAGTGCTTGACAGGCTACTTCTAATTAATATGCGATATTTGTTTTAAAATAAGTGTTGTTTGATGATTTTGCTATTTTAAAAGAGTACCGAGAGTTTTTTACGCCGTCTTTTTCTCTCAGCCTACACCCTCTGTCTTCTTTGCCAATGAGTAGGGATGTCTACATATACAAATTTAATGACGTGGAATAAGTGATACCTGTATCTTATATTCCATAATTAACGTATTTTTTTTATTTTTAGTAATGTTACTAAAAAATAAAATATTAAACATTAAAATTAAAATCTTGTCAAGAAATACCTGCAAGTCTTCACTTTCGCAAAGCCGTAACCTCTCCAGGTACTCGTCGAGTTTGAGCGCCGTAAACTCATACTGAAGGTGAACCCTGAAGTTCATATCTTCTACTGAATGTACTATTATGTTCACGAACTGCATACACGCTACCTAAAAAATTAATAAAACAAACATTAAAATAATACATTTAAAAAAAGTTGAGTTAAAGGAATATTTAATTATTACACTTGCAGTAATACAGAACAATTCGCGGATAAACACCGTGACGCGTAATTTATATTAAGATAGTTACCAGACGACTGATAGGCCGGAAGATAGTGACACAAAATAGTGGGTCATTTGTACCAGTATGGCGGTTCTTCAGGGGTCTTATTACGAAATTAAAAAACGAAAAATGATGGTCATAGCTCTGGTACCGGCGGCCGAAGCGCGTGGGCGTTAGTCGAACTCGTCGGATTAATTAGTTAAGTTACATAAAAAATAAGAGGTGGTAGTGTCATGCCATACTTCTCCGGTGTGACTTACAGCCCGCCATACCGACGCGAATGCGTTAATAAAAAAAAATCAACCATTTGTACCAGGCTAAGTTCTGCACAGTTAATCATCGTATAGTAAGAGCCAATTATATTTTTACTAGCTGATCCGGCAGACGTCGTTTTGCCATGTATATCATTTATAATAAAAAATAGGAGTTGATCGTAGAGGGGTGAAAATTAGGGGTCGTCTGTATTTTTGTATGCTGTATCATAAAAAAATAAAAACAAAAAAATTGTCCAAAAAATAAAAATAAATATTTTGGCGTGGACACCCCTTATCACTTAGGGGTATGAAAAATAGATAGTAGCCGATTCTCAGACCTACTGAAAATGCATATAAAATTTGATAAAAATCGGTCAATCCGTTTCGGAGGAGTATGGTAACTAAAATTGTGACACGAGAATTTTATATATATATAAGATAATTACCATAAACTCAATATGGAAGCTGTCGTAGTTCATGAAATACTCCATCAGTGTGTGAAACCGCCTGGGCTCGCCGACCACCTCCTGGAATACAAAACAATATAATAAATATTATTCATTTAATTATATGAACTGGAGACTCAAGTAGGTCTTAGAACTAAGATGGTTCTTTGAAGCGAAAACAATCAATCAGATTCAGAAATGTATATGTTATTTAGACTATATTTGACTAACTGTTTATATATACTAGCGGCCCTTTTTGCCTTCGCAGAACTGCTCATTTTTTTTAATATTTTGGAAATAAATATAGCCTTACTCAAGGATGACGTGGATTCTATTCTTGAAAGAATTTTATTTTATTTTGGTAACACAATGTAATGTACCCTACATTGTGTTAGCTAAATGCATAAATGATTTTGAATTTAAATATACAAAAGTTGTTTGAGTCATATTGACTATTCGGATATTGAACACTTCGTTGAATATACACTATAAATAAATAAATAAAAATAAAATATACACTAAAGTCGACATAAATAAAGCGCCACAGGCAGCCTGATCGCTTAAAAATGTCATAAGGGAAAATACAATATTATAGTAGTCTGTGCTGAAAGACTTTTTCATTAAAGAAATTCAATTGCTACGCTTTATTTAATTTACTTGCAAAAATTTACGCTTTTAATTATTACATTTTATTAAGATACTGTCGAACTATGACGTAACAGTTTTCCCGCCTTCAAATCCCCGGACGGTTTCCGCACAGACTGGAGTACAATAAGCAGCTACAGATATACAAAAAAATTACCTTAAAGTTATCAAATGCAGATAATATAATCTGATGCCCTCCCTTCACTAGACATATGGCAGCCAGCAGTTCCAGTACCAGCGCTTTGGTTCGTAACGAATGATGCACTAGAGATAGTGCAATACTGTTGATCGCTTCTCTGTGTTGTATCACCATATTGAAGCCGTACTAAAATTACATAAAAATGTAACATTACAAATTTTACATACAAAAAGTTCAACTTAGAAAATAATTTTTAAAAAGAGTTGCGGAGAGTTCTCCTCCCCTCGATTTAGGAACTAATAATAAACATATAGAACGTTTATTTATTTATTGAAGTGAAACTTCTTTATCGAGGTTGGAAAAAAAATTAGTGTAACATTTTTTCGTTACGCGTCACATTTTTCGGTTACGCGCCATGTTGCTTTTCGAAGTCAAACTTCTTTATCGGCGTTGGAATGAAACTTCTTTATCGATGTATGGGAGAAATTTTGTAGCAAATCGTCACGTTTTTCAAATTTCAATGATAGTAATAATTCTATTACAATTAATGAAATTCTATAATAATCTTCGTAGTAATAAGGTAAAATGAAATATTTGTATTCATGTCTATGATAATAAAAGCCTTTTGTTAAACTTTATCTAATTTAACGAATTTCTGTAAAGTTGCATATAGTAGATCATTTTTCGAAAAATAAGATCATAAAGAAGTTTCACTTCTTACGTGTGTACACCTAGTACACGCACAATTTATTTTATTTATTTACACTTTATTACCTTATACAAAAACATACACATAAAAAAAGCAGGTTACATAAGTTATAAGGCAACGGGCGGCCTTATTACTGACAAGCGATTTCTTCCAGGCAACCCTAATATGGAAGTTCAGAAGAAGTATACAAATACATAAATTAATTTTGGATTTGATAAGGTCAAAGTCTATAAGAGCAGCTTTTATTTGTAATTATTTACAGCAAATATTTGTGTAACAGGCAAACGGGCAGGAAGCTCATCTGATGTTAAGTGATACCGCCGCCCATGGGCACTCACATTGCCAGAAGCCCACAAGTGCCGGCCTTTTAAGAATTGGTACACTCTTTTCTTGAAGTACCCTAAGTCGAGTTGGTTCGGAAATCCTTCAGCGGGCAGCTGGTTCCACATAGTAGTGGTGCTCGGCACAACTGCCTTAAGAAACACTCAGTTGTGGAAGGACGGACGTCGAGGTGATACAAGTGGAATTTCGCATTCTGCCTTGACGACCGATGACGAAACTCAGCTGGAGGTATTAATCTTAACAACACTTCCGAACACTTTTCGTGGTAAATGCGGTACAAGATGCAGAGAGACGCCACGCCACATCTCTACGCCAAGAGATCAAGCCGTTCGGAAAGTGACTGGTCGTCGACGATTCGAATTTTTCCCAACATTCTTGTATCTTACCTTATTATTCATAATAGCCCGCATACACATAATGCAAACGTGTATATCGTCTGTGGATGCTCCCATGTTAAGCCTGGCGGCGTGTCGCGTTCTTCTACGAGCTACAGCGGGACTCCCAGCGCCTTCGATTTCGGAATCGGCAGATCTGGCTCTTCTTCTCCACGTGGAGCTTAAGGTGGCACTACCTTCTGTTGGACCACTGCAGTCCGAGGTTGTTGTGTTGACTGTAATAATTCATGATGATGATTCCTATGTAATTTTTTAATTATTATTTTTATTATTCTCTTATTTGCGAATAATTTCATAATTGAAGCGTAGTGTTTTAAGATCCCTTAGGTAGTAGCTTCAAACCCCAACTGTGCAGTAAATTTCTGTCTAGGTGTGTAAGTGTCTATGCTCTTAACAGTCGCTTGAACGTTAAGCGAAAACATAGTGAGAAATTATGCTTTAGAATCAAAGAACCGACGGCGAATGTCAGGGACAGAAGGCTGATCGCCTATTAGAAAAAACAAATTACAAAACAAACACACAAATCTGAGGCGCAGACCTTAAAAGGTTGTAACGCCTTAATAATAAGTAATTTTGTAATATCTTCTGTTTAAATATAGCAACTATATCTAGTAGATAAAATTCTCGTGTCACAGTGTTCGTTCCCATACTCCTCCGAAACGGCTCGACCGATTCTTATGATTGTTTTTATGCATATTCAGTAAGTCTGAGAATCGGCTACTATCTAAATCTAAGTGATACGGGGTGTACAACCCAAAAAAAATCTTTTTGTTTTTATTTTTTTATGATAAATCATACAAAATTACATACAACCATTTTCACCCCTCTACCATCATCAACCCCTTTTTTTATTATTGATAGTTACTTTTATTGAACTAAAAAAATGTTTCTTTTAAATAATATACATGGCAAAACAAACGTTTGCCGGGTCAGCTAGTATGCCATAAACAAATAAATGAGATAGTATGAAGAAGAAAAGGCATAACCCCCTCGATGTACGGTCCTGGGTTAAATTTTGGATAAAACAATAACTTCGGTTTGGAACAAATCCACTTTAGTCTGAACCTACCTTGATGAATACCATCGCTGGACTGACTCCGTGCAAGCGCTATCCTCTGTTCATGCCGCATCATACTTAGTCTAAAGCTCAGGTAGTCGATCAGGACATCTAGTCCTTGGTTATGCTCGTTTAGAAATTCGCGGACCCATCTGAAATTAGCAGTAATTTAACATTTAGAGGATGTTAACGCTTTTACTGATATCGTTGATACTACGTTTTATCATCGGAGGTCAAGGCTGAATATGAAATACCACCCGTTTCACTTCGACGTCCGTCGTTCCATAAATGAACAGTTTTGTACTGCGTACCACTATGAGGAAACTGCCCACTGAAGTATTTCCAATCCCATCCCATCAACTTCGAGGACCCTCCTTCAAGAAAAGAGCGTATCAATTCCTAAAAGGCCGGCAACGCACTTGCCTTCTGGCTATTTGAGTGTCCATAGGCAGCGGTATCACTTAACATCAGATGAGCTTCCTGCGCCCTGTTATATAAAAAGTAAAGTAGTCTTTGTCCTTTTCAGACAGGTGAAGGAAAACATAGTCAGGAAACCAAAAAGTCAAGGGCGTGTGTCAGGCACAGGAGGCTGATCACCTTCTTTACGAGTAGCGGCACGAAACTCTAGCGCTGACCGTTATTGCGCAGAAGTAAAAAATAAGGTACCTGCCCCTCAGGCTAGCGGAATGAAGAGTTTCGATTGGCTCTCCAGTCGCATTCCGTACCCCGCGCGACAGTACACATGCGCAGCAATCCCCTCCACGTATCGGCCAGCGCTAGACTTACGTGCCGCTGCCTATACTATTAGATTGATCATAAAACAGATACAGAAATCTGAGGCCCAGATAAAAGTGCATAAACAAATTTACAATCACGAGAAATGATAGCCTAAAATCGAGAGGATGTAGATTAATCACAGGATTTCCATTCAGTTTATCAAATTCAAACGAATGCCTTAATATTAGAAGTGGGCGAAACGATAAACAATTCTAACTATATTGCACATATGCGCAAGTGTCCTAATTTGCTAAATGATGTTCACGCTGCTGCTCATTATTTTATATAGGACAGCATTTATATTTTAGTACTTGCACTGTATCTGCTTAATAGAAATAGCAGGAAAAGACTGGCAGACTATTGGCAAAGATAGAGTCATTCGGAAAGGGAGGAGGCCATTACCCATGTCCACAGGCGACGAACATTTTGTTATAAGTAAATACTAACAACATTTGAAATGGAAATTAAGAATAGGGTAATAATAAAACAACTAACTTTCTTATTATTATTATAATGTTTGGTAACAGTTTACTTTAGCTCAGGATAGTTTTATGATCCTGGTACTCTTGCTCACGGGAATAAGCCAAATGAACACAGTTTTTATGGGTTATTATCTTGTAGAAATTTGCGGGTTGTTCTTGCCGTAATTAATAAAAAAAATAATTCAGACCATTATAAGTCCATTATCTATTGATAGTAGAGTAATAAATAACTATGTTAGTAAAATTAAAATTAGCAAAATTAACTAACTAGGGGGGGGGGGGGGGGGGGGGGGGGGGGGGGGGGGGGGGGGGGGGGGGGAAAGAGGGAAGGGGTTTTGGGGGGGGGGGGGGGGGGGGGGGGGGGGGGGGGGGGGGGGGGGGGGGGGGGGGGGGGGGGGGGGGGGGGGGGGGGGGGGGGGGGGGGGGGGGGGGGGGGGGGGGGGGGGGGGGGGGGGGGGGGGGGGGGGGGGGGGGGGGGGGGGGGGGGGGGGGGGGGGGGGGGGGGGGGGGGGGGGGGGGGGGGGGGGGGGGGGGGGGGGGGGGGGGGGGGGGGGGGGGGGGGGGGGGCAACAAAACCAACACACCCCCCCCCCCCCCCACCCCCCCCCCCCCCACCCCCCCACGAGGAGGAGGCGGGGGGGGGGGGGGGGGGGGGGGGGGGGGGGGGGGGGGGGGGGGGGGGGGGGGGGGCGGGGGGGGGCCCCCCCCCCCCCGCCACCACCCCCCCCCCCCCCCCGCCCCCCCCGCGCGGGGCGCACGCCCACGCGAGGGCAACAAACCAAAAACACCCGCGAAGCCCACACACCCCCGGGGGGGGGGGCCTTTTGGCGCGGGGGGGCGGGGGGGGGGGGGGGGGGGGGGGGGGGGGGGGGGGGGGGGGGGGGGGGGGGGGGGGGGGGGGGGGGGGGGGGGGGGGGGGGGGGGGGGGGGGGGGGGGGCGGACGGGGGGGGGGGGGGGGGGGGGGGGGGGGGGGGGGGGGGGGGGGGGGGGGGGGGGGGGGGGGGGGGGGGGGGGGGGGGGGGGGGGGGGGGGGGGGGGGGGGGGGGGGGGGGGGGGGGGGGGGGGGGGGGGGGGGGGGGGGGGGGGGGGGGGGGGGGGGGGGGGGGGGGGGGGGGGGGGGGGGGGGGGGGGGGGGGGGGGGGGGGGGGGGGGGGGGGGGGGGGGGGGGGGGGGGGGGGGGGGGGGGGGGGGGGGGGGGGGGGGGGAGGGCGCGGGGGGGGAAGAAAGGACGGGGGGGGCGGGGGGGGGGGGCGGGGGGGGGGGGGGGGGGGGGGGGGGGGGGGGGGGGGGGGGGGGGGGGGGGGGGGGGGGGGGGGGGGGGGGGGGGGGGGGGGGGGGGGGGGGGGGGGGGGGGGGGGGGGGGGGGGGGGGGGGGGGGGGGGGGGGGGGGGGGGGGGGAAAAAAAAAAAAAAAAAAAAAAAAAAAAAAAGAGGGGGGGGGGGGGGGGGGGGGGGGGGGGGGGGGGGGGGGGGGGGAAAAAAAAAAAAAGAGGGGGAGGGGGGGGGGGGGGGGGGGGGGGGGGGGGGGGGGGAGAAAAAAAAAAATGGGGGGGGGGGGGGGGGGGGGGGGGGGGGGGGGGGGGGGGGGGGGGGGGGGGGGGGGGGGGGGGGGGGGGGGGGGGGGGGGGGGGGGGGGGGGGGGGGGGGGGGGGGGGGGGGGGGGGGGGGGGGGGGGGGGGGGGGGGGGGGGGGGGGGGGGGGGGGGGGGGGGGGGGGGGGGGGGGGGGGGGGGGGGGGGGGGGGGGGGGGGGGGGGGGGGGGGGGGGGGGGGGGGGGGGGGGGGGGGGGGGGGGGGGGGGGGGGGGGGGGGGGGGGGGGGGGGGAAAAAAAAAAAAAAAAAAAAAAAAGAGGGGGGGGGGGGGGGGGGGGGGGGGGGGGGGGGGGGGGGGGGGGGGGGGGGGGGGAAGAGAAAAAAAAAAAAAAAAAAAAAAAAAAAAAAAAAAAAAAAAAAAAAAAAAAAAAAAAAAAAAAAAAAAAAAAAAAAAAAAAAAAAAAAAAAAAAAAAAAAAAAAAAAAAAAAAAAAAAAAAAAAAAAAAAGGGGGGGGGGGGGGGGGGGGGGGGGGGGGGGGGGGGGGGGGGCGCGGGCGGCGGGGGGGGGGGGGGGCCGGGGGGGGGGGGGGGGGGGGGGGGGGGGGGGGGGGGGGGGGGGGGGGGGCGGGGCGAGAGGGGGGGGGGGGGGGGGGGGGGGGGGGGGGGGGGGGGGGGGGGGGGGGGGGGGGGGGGGGGGGGGGAAAAAACCCGGCCCCCCCCCCGGCGGGGGGGGGGGGGGGGGGGGGGAAAAAGGGGGGGGGGGGACCCCCCCCCCGCCCCCCCCCCCCCGGGGGGGAGGGGGGGGGGGCGCCCCCCCCCCTTCAAAAAAAAACCAAAACCTTAAAAAAAAAAAAAAAATTTTTTGAAAAAAAAAAAAAAAAAGGGGGGGGGGGGGAGGGGAAAAAAAAAAAGGAGAAATGGGGGTATCAAAAAATTTTTGGGTGGAGGCAAGAAGGAGGAGGGGGAACGCGCCCAGAAGGGGGTGAGTAACAAACCCACCAACATAGAAAAAAATTTTTGAGACTAATTTCACTGTAATATTACTTACCTTAACTAATATTACTGCTTTTTGAAGGACGAAAGGGATCGGCGGTCTAACAATTTGATAGATTCGTATTTTTTTGGGATTATTTCGGTGGTAGACAAAATGTACTATTTATACTTCTGTTTTTATTATTATTATTACTGTAAATGCCTTTATTCAACCTTCAACAGAACATGTTAAAATGTTTCCTTGAAAAGTCTGGAGCAATACTAGTAATATACGAATTATTCATTTATTTATTATTATTATTATTTACAGGCAAGTCCAGGATCTTCCTACAGTCACACGTCAACGATTTCTGGAGTAAGACATGCCGGTGTCCGCACTATGATTCTTTCCACATTTTGGTTAATTGCGCATTTAGAAATAAGTCCACGGGATTGAACTTGGGACTGGGAATCGCACGCTTAATCTCTAACTTTGGTCTTAATAGGAAGTAAGGATTTGATTTGTATTAAACACAAGGGTATATATTTTTATGAAAATTCCACGAAATCTAGTTCTTAAAAATCGGTTGTCTGTAAAGTCGGTTTACTGACGATAGTTGAACGTGACAACGTCATTAGAAAATACTGATGGAATGGTTGCATTTTTCAAAAGAAAATTTAAATTTGATTTGTTTGATAGATATTTTGTATGGATATAGAGAAGGAGGTAAATGGAAATCACAATTGAATTGATCAAGTTTCATTTATTTGTACGCATAAATACAATTATGTGAATTTTAACGATTGAACGCCGCCGAACGTGGAGGCCGATTGTGCCTCTTTGTCGCTCGTTTCGCGCTCTCGCTTGCACTTCAAGCCTTAAATGGAACGCCTCAGAGCGAGGTAACGCCGCATGCGTCATGTTTTTTCGTGCGTGCAGCCGGCTCCATCGAATTATAAGACGTTGTCACGTCAAAACATAATAAAGGATTTGGGAGAAACAAAAATAGACGTAAGGTATTCTGAAGTCGGTAATGTGAATAGGTCATTTTGGTATGTGCCCTTATAATAATAATTACAAAAGATTAAACTTACTCAATATGATTGGTTCGCAGCGATATTTCCAAATCCCGCAGCACTTGCGTGGAGGTCGAGTCGCCTACCATTTTCCTTTTCTGAAAAAAGTAGTGTAAAATTAATTTTTAAAATCAGCTATCAAGAAATTATTATTGCATCATCATATTTTGAAGTGAAACTTCTTTAGGCGCATGAGGGTAAATTTTTACGAAAACGCCACGAAGATGTGCAGCGTTTTTGTCGAAGAAAAGGGAGAGAGCGATTGAGACCGAATGAGAGAGAATGAGAAGGGCGGATTACCTTATAGAAATTGTTATGTTTAAAATAAAAATTTCGTAAAGAGAATTTATGAAATATTAGTATTTTATATTTTATGCTAAATAATTTTTGAAATCTCAAATGACGAATTGTAAAATAAATTGTCACGTGTTTTAAATTGTCAAGAACCGTTTTCTCAATTATGCACGAGAACTAAAATATTTGTGACATAGGCCAGTGTCATTATAGACATTCGAAATCGAAAATTTGATAATAATTCCAAAAGTTTTCAAACTTCGGTCAAGTGAATGGTACATTGGGACGACAATAAATCTCATTTTGCAACCTTGTCCGCAGTCCGGAACATTGTTAAAATTGCAATTAAATTAATTTTATGTCTGTATGGTCGTGAAAAAAATTCCAAAAGTTCTGCAAACTTGGGGAAGTTTTCGATATAATATTTCATATCACGTATAAAATTTGCAACCAACCTAAGTGTACGGAACATTTTTTGTTATTTATTTTATTTTCGATATATCTGTCAAATTTGCAGAACTTTTGGAACGTTTTCCTTCAGTTTAATAAAGAACAACATTAATTAAATAATGTTCCGTACACTTAAATTGGTTGCAAATTTGACACGTGATGTAAAATAATATATTTAACACCACTCCAACTTTGCAGAACTTTTGGAATTTTGGTCTCAAGAACTAAGCAAATTATCATTTATTGCATTTTTAACAATGTTCCGGACCGCAGAGCAGGTTGCAAAATTTTATAGTTTGTTTTAATACCACTCCCGACCTTACATCAAAATTTGAAAACTTTTGGAATTATTATGAATTAATTGTCTTGACTGACTGGTCTAACAGGTCTAGGTAGACTGTAATAGGTAGGTAGAAAGAAAATTTGTTAGTAGTTTAAGGAAGTATGCAACATAGTAGATTATATTTATTGTTAAGCATATACGCTATAAATTAAATATACTTAATAAAACGTGTGTGTACTTATGTGCACGCGTTAGAAGTTACACTTCTTTGGCGTAACAAGATAAAAATCTTTTCATAAATTGTATTCTACGTTTGTAGAAAACACGACTCTAACAATAGAAAAACTAAAATGTTGACTTTGATAGCTAACCTCAGGGTGTCGGTTTTTTGTGACGGTGTGCGCGCGCATCGTAATAATTTACTCACATCTTCCCTAACGCGCGAAAAGTAGTATAACTTTAAAAAACATTTCTCTATACATCTAATTAAAATAATTGAAATAGCTATTATATTCTTATCAATAAAGACCGCAGGGCGCAGTCACATGATTGTTTCTAACCAAATTTCCATTGGAGACTTTCCCACATAAACAAAACACTATCAATTTCAAATAACCCATTATTCATGCCCCGTTTATCTGATATTGATTTGTGATTACTATCAGTAAGAGAATTACTATTGTGTTGCCTCAAGGCATGTTCAGCCAGTAATGGAGAAGAATGAGCTTTTCCTTCTAGCGGATAGCGGTCATAATTTGTAATTTCTATGTAAAAGCCGACATTACTCGACTTTTTTAGAGTACTAGCAGGAGATAGGAGATTTATCATTAGTATGAACTTGATTTTATAGAAAATTAATACAAAAATAGGTTATTTGTGAGTGCTGAAATGTTGGCTGTTATTAAAACTTCTTGAGTCGAAAAAATTTAATCGATGTATCTTTAAGCAACTATGCATATCGCAGATGCAAAAGCATCGGTATCGCTATATATAATTTTGACAGTAAACTGGTAATTACATACAAACTGTATGTGATCTTTGTCTTTGGTCTGTCTGAAATTAACATCGTATTGATACGACGTATATAATATATATATATTTTTTTTAATAGAGCGCATCGTGCAATCAGTCTTCTGACTATGAGCAGATGAGTTGTAGGATGATTTGCGGGTGGAGATAATCCTCATTAGCAATATCTACCATAATAATATTAGCTCAGTCAATGCTGCTGAGCTCCAGGGTTCTTCGTCTTTTGAGTCGGTTTATATACTCCGGTAGGGTGAATTGAATAGCTAGGTAGTTAGGATGAAATTCCAGCCTAGTCTTGTACTTCTGAGCGTATACTTTTATATATAATATAAAATTCAAAATTCAAATTCAATCTTAATATATAAAAGGTTGGAGGAGGCCTTTGCCGATTGGCAAACAGATCTGCAGAAATCAAGCAAGATCCAAAAATTTGTATAGTTTTTTTTAACCTTATAATACCTAGTTCAATATAATGATCTATGTTTATGTGTGTACCTATGTCGATCTGAATAAAAGGCTATATTATTATTTGTAATATAAAAGAACGTTGGGTTTGTTTGAACTCGAGAACGTCTGAACAGATTAACATTATTATTTCATTACTATTAAATACATTGGAGACCTGACGTCAACAAAATAAAAGAAACGAAGTACCAATAAAAAATATTTATGGTTTCTGTCTGACATTAAAAGTTCATCCCGTCGATACGAAATTCTCCTCTCAAAAGGTTTTGAATCCACAAGATATATAAAGAATAAAGAAAGAGATCGGGAACTTCGAAGAAGAATAAACTGCGGAAATTAAACTCTACAAATATAAGGCAAGTTCCGATACACGTGCGCGTAAAATGGCATAAAAATGTTGAAGGTTAATAGACGACTAAAAACTCTAGGAACAATTAAATCAATGTTTTTAACAAAATGTTTCATACTTCTCTACGCTAAACGCGGTATGAATTTTAAAACTGACGAGTAATATAATTTACGTTAATATTATTTTAGTTTATTAAAAAACTTAAAAAACGATCCATCGACTATTATAAAGCACTATTGTACTGTTTTAAAGAGTTTAGAAACAATCTAATCTATATCTGAATTAAATATTGTAAAGATTTATTTTTATTTATTAACACTTCGTTGCAGAAATACAATTGACATACTTAAAAGACAAGGAGGGCATCTGGCGGCCTTATCGCCTGACAACCACTGTGAGAAAAAAAATTAAGTTAAGTAAGCAAGAAGTTCAGAAATACATAAGATATATAGTTATTTAAACAAAACTAATGGAACAAAACAAAGCAATTAAAACATATCTTCTCGCCGTGCGACGACGGTAGACGGACGTATTTTTTGTTTATTTTTTGTTTGACTAAGTAGTCAGTTGTTTTAATTTGGGTGCAAAAATGGAATGCAAGAACTGTAAAAACAGAATTAATAATTCTTTGTACTTGAAGTGTTCTAAGTTTAAATGCGGTAATATGTATCATATTCAGTGTTTAAATATAAGCAAAGAAAAATTGGTGATGATGAATCAGCACGAGAAAGATTGGTGGAGGTGTCCAGAATGTTTGTGTTACGCTTCCAAGGTGGATAAAATTAATCGTAAAGGGTCTCAAATTACTATAACACCGAAAAGCGTAAGTCCTCAAAAAAATGATGTTCTTGTTGAGAATTATTTCAGTTACTTGCTTAAAGAAATGAAGGATTTTAGGCAAGACATGCTGAACCGCTTTGAAGAGCAGAAAAAATACTATAATGAGCTACAAAATAGATTCATTAATGCTGAATTGGAATTGAATGAATTACGGGAAATAATGAGGGTAGTCGAAAAAAAAACAAAATGCGATCTACTTGGCGAGGAAATAATAAATAAGCCGACCGGTTTGAATACAACGACACCTGTGCAATCTTTTGTGGATGTCCTAAAACATAATAGCCAAATTACCGATGCGTCCATGAAGGAATGTGAGGCCACGACGTCGGCGTCAATACAAATTGAAGACCAAAACGGATTGCCAACGATTAAAGAGCAAGTAAAGGAGAAATTGCGAAAAAAGTGTAATATGTTGGAAACCAAGGCAAAGTTGAATGGCGATGACAGTCCCCGGAGCAAATACCCTCGAAAAGAGGTAAAAAAGGGTGATTGCAGAAACGCTATACAGATTGAAGGGACCGAGCGGAAGAAGTTTTTACACGTATGGCGCTTAAAAAAGGAAACGTCGGTGGAATGTTTGGAAAGCTATGTGAAAAAAAATATATAACAAAAAATGTGACAGTTAGCGTAGAAAAGATAAATCATAAAACAGAGAGGGACTATGCTTCTTTTATTATTGGTGTACCAGAAAGTGAATATAAGGTACTCTGTCAACCTGAAAATTGGCCAGTAAATATAGAATTTTGTGATTGGGTGTGGTTTCGGAGATCGAACAAAAGTAAAGAAGGGTGGAAGTAAACCAATTGATATATTCTATCAAAACGTAAGGGGGCTTCGGACTAAATTAGTTAACTTTAACGCAAGTGTGTTGACAGCAGAGGCAGACTTGATTGCTGTCACAGAGACAGGCTGTAATGAGTCAATAGCTGATGCTGAGTTGGTTCCAATAGGCTTTACTATACTACGATGTGAACGCGCGGACGGCCGCAAGCAAGGTGGAGCCTGTTTGATAGCCACTCCGCGTTTAGAGATGAGGCGAGTGATATTGCCTACCGATGTATATATCGAGTGTCGGGCATTTGAACTTGTTTGTGCGACTGTTTTTTTTAAAAAGTAGGTTTTTATTTTTTTGTGTGTCCTATATATTCCTCCTAATAGTAATGATCATGAATATTTGTTATTATTTAAAATAATAGAAGATTATTGCCACAAATATAGTAGTGTATTAGTGTTAGGGGATTTCAATTTATATTCTTGTTCTAATTTGGTTAGAAATTATTTTGAGGATTATTTTTTACATTATTGTGAATTCAGTCAGTGCAATTCAGTAGAAAATATTAATGAAAGAATTTTGGATCTGGTTTTATGCAAGGTTGGGGGGGTTAGCAGCGTAAATGTGTGTGTATCTGATCAGCCTCTGGTGTCAGTGGATAAACAACATCCACCGCTTCAAGTGTGTGTATGGCCCCGATCGGCGGCGTCCCTGGTGAAATATACGAAGGCGGTAGATAAGGTAGGTAGACCATTGAAATGGAAATTTCAAAAAGCCAATTACGATATGTTGTATTCGAGGATAGGAGCAGCAGACTGGTCTAGTATATTTTCTTCGGACTTAGATGCGAGTCTAGATAGCTTTTATAATATTTTAAATACTATCTTTGACGATTGTGTGCCAAAAGAAACCCTAAAAGGATATGTTCACTCAAAACACGCGTATCCGGAATGGTATAATGATGAAATTATTCGTAAAATAAAATGGAAAGCTAAGCTACATAAGCGTTATAAGAGAACTAAGTTGCAAGGTGACTACCAAGCGTTTAGCTTGTGTAGGGCTGAGGTAAAGGTAGGGATTGCTAAGGCATTTGATAGGTATCGGAAAGTTATTGAAACGAACGTCATAGAAAATCCTAGGTCATTTTGGAAATTTGTAAAGAGCCAAAGGGCTGAAAGACAGCCTAGGGGTATTGTTAGTAACGGAAAAGAGTTAACTATGGATAAGAGGGTAGAGGAATTCGCTAATTATTTCAGTTCAGTGTATGTTACGCAAAAGCCCAAGCTTGACGTTAAGAAAGCTATTGCGGAGGCGGATTGTGGAAGTGGGGGAACATTGGTTCACGTAGATAAGTTGCAATTAGAGGAGGTACGGAATGCCTTACAACGTTTAAAACCAAAAAAGTCCGCGGGGCCTGATGGTATACCTCCGTATATCTTTAGAGACTGTCGGGCAGTATTGGCGGAACCCCTTCTCCATATATTCAATCTTAGCCTTAAAGCGTCAACATTCCCAGATCGTTGGAAAATTAGCAAAGTGGTTCCGGTACCTAAAGGTAGACAAAGTGACAAAGTAGACCATCATAGACCGGTGGCGATCTTGTCAACACCAGCGAAGGTAATGGAGTCAGCGCTTCAAAAGTGCATTCTTGATCAGGTAGGATCTCAACTCTCTGACTCACAACATGGATTTCGAGCAGCAAGAAGTACCACGAGCAACTTATTAAGCTTCTTGACTTGCATAGTACCAGTTGTGGATAGTGGAGGACAAGTTGATGCAGCCTACTTTGATATACGAAAAGCATTTGACACGGTCGATAACGACGTGCTCTTGATGAAATTAGCAAAAGTTGGCTTCACTGCGTCATTGATTCGGTTTATGGCAAGTCACATGACAGATAGGGAGCAGTATGTGGAATATGATGGCATTAAATCTAGGAACTATTACACTTGGTCTGGCGTGACGCAGGGGAGCAATTTAGGACCTTTAGAATTTTTGTTAATGGTAAATGATCTACCAGGGGTAGTAGAAGAGGCAAAATGTTTAATGTTCGCGGATGATCTTAAATTATCACGGCCGATTAATAGTGAGGAAGATTGTCTACGATTGCAGCAGGATATTGATCGGGTAGTAAATTTGTGCAGGAAAAATCGACTGCAGCTTAATTCTGCAAAATGTGCTGTTATTTCTTTTTCCAGAGCACGGACACCGATTCTTTATAATTATAACATTGAGAAACAGCCAATTCCAAGAGTAGCCGAAATAAAAGAGGGTTCATTTAAACGTGGAATTAAATTTTCGGGATAACATAAAAATAATTTGTAAAAAAGCTTATAGGAATTTAGGGTTTATTTTGCGTATGGCCAAAGGATTTTCAAATATAAAAGCGGTAATGGCATTGTATAATGCACTTGTTAGGAGCCACTTGGAATATAATTCTATGATTTGGGCCCCACAAGAAAAAAAATATTCTCTAATGGTGGAGCGCATCCAAAATAAATTTATGAGATACATATACATGAGGTTGTATGGAGTGTACCCATTTTACCCAATAATGTATCCAACTTTGTTTGTCTTGGGCATGGTTGGATACAACAAGTTAGAGGTAAGGAGGGACCTTACTCTCACGCTATATTTTTTTAAGATCCTTAGAGGTAAAATATATAATGCGGAAATATTGGAAAGACTGGGGCTGCGTGTGCCAAATAACCACACTCGGCGGAGTAAGCGGTCGCAATTGCTGGCAGTGCCTCGGGCGCGGACGAACTTACTTAGAGAAGCACCATTTACGCGTGTTTTGCGCACCCTAAACACTATTGCTTGTGAGACGGATATATTTAGTTGCACACTGGCTGAATTCACAAGAATTTCATTATTTATAATTAGTTATAAAATTGTTTAGGTTTTTTTAAGTTTTTACTTGTTATGGTTATATTATGTTTTAAGTTAGTTTTCTATTGTATTAGTATAAAGTTACTGTAAAAATAGGAAATAAGGAATAAATAAATAAATAAAAAAATATGTCAACAGTGATCAGGACATTATTAAAAAAAAGGACACGTGAATAACGATAATTTTAGATCATAGATAGTGTTTCAGATATACTTTTTGTATTGGATAATCCAATTATTGCATTAGAGCTTTTCATCTCTTACTGTCAAATTCTATTTATACTGTGATGAAAAGAGACGGAAAAGTATTTTGGTTAAAATGTGCAATCAGACTTCTTAAATCATAAAAACTCAATCAAACCGTATATCATGGTTAAATCTTCGCTATCATCAGTCATATTAAGATCAGAATGGAATTCTTCATGGCTAAACAATAGTCCATGCATCAGATGGGTGTGGATGTGCAATTTACGAAGACAGTAACTAATAGTATTGCCAGGGGATAATTGCATGCGGGCTGGACTCCGCAATCATTTGACTCATTGATAAATGATGTATGTAATTATATAATCGTGAAAGTCCAGAACTTCTACTTGCCGATCTAGATTTCAAATATTTAGTTTTATTTATAGAACAAGACCAGTGTTGGCCTAGTGGCTTCAGGGTGCGACTCTCATACCTGAGGTCGCAGGTTCGTTCCCCGACTATATTCTAAGACCAATGGACTTTTTTTCTATGTGCGCATTTAACATTTGCTCGAATGGTGAAGAAAACATGGTGAGGAAACCGACATGTCTTAGACCCAAAAAGTCGACGGCGTGTGTCAGGCAGTAGAGGCTGATCACCTACTTGCCTATTAGATTTAAAAATGACCATAAAACAGATTCAGAAATCTGAGGCCAAGACCTAAAGAGGTTGTAGCGCCACTGATTTATTTTTATTATTTTATTTATAGAACAGGGGCAAGCCTGAAGTTAAGTGAGAGCGTTGCCGGACTTTTAAGAAAACACTCTTTTCTTGAAGGACCCTAAGTCGAATTGGTTCGGAAATACTTCAGTGGGCAGCTGGTTACACATAGTGATGGTGCACAGCAAAAAACGCTCACTAGTGGAACGACGATACGGGTGGAAATTCGTATTATGCCTCGACTAGACGTCCGATGATGAAACTCAGCTGATTGATTTTGACTTGATTTATTTCGCATTTTAATTGACATTCCCCGATTGTGCATGTCACTTCGGATTATACATCAGATATAATCCTACTTAAATAATTTTACTAGCTTATGTCAGCAATTATCTTGGCGAGTCGACGCTGTTTTATTATATGATTTTTGCTCACTCAGGCTTTCTTAGTTTTATAAGCGTGGCGATTTCCTAAATCGTCCGAGTTACGCCCCGAAAGTATAGCCAGACGTAGGCACTCTCTTCTACTGTAACATTGCATTCATTCGTTACATAGAAATTAACATTTAATTTCGCTTATATTCTATTGTTGTACGCGAGTGGTTAATATAGAGTAAAACTAAAATCCTCTAATATTAAAAGCACCCCGTTGACCCAGGAACCGTACTTTTAATTTTAAACACCCAATGCAAAATAAGAAGTGGGAGTATCTGTGGTATCGTAGCTCTTAAACAAAAGGGTTATAGTGCGGGAATCTGTTGAAATCTGACGTGATGTATCTTACCTTTGTATTGTAGAAAATTAAGTCAACATAATAATGCTTTTAGTACTAGCCATAATTATTGTATTATGCACTATCTTTTGTGAACGTTATTCTAGGGAAAAAAAATATAGATTGACTTGGAAGACGCACTAAAAAAAATATTTTATATAACATATATACTTGTGAGATGCATTGTGTTTCCAATCGATGGCCAAGGCAATGTATTTTGTATTTTTATTTACAAGGTTATGTTTGTCATAACATTTGGAACACCCTATTCATTCCATTGAACTGCTTCATGATGGAGCTCAAAGGTGGGTTATTATTGTGTTTAATTTTATATTATATTTAAATACATACCCTATGACTCCTAGAAGCTTTAGGATCGAGGTAGGTTCGGAGTTTGTTCAAATAGTGCGCCGGGGAATCTTTTGCTTGAACCATATCCTGGTCGCAAATGATCTCCCATTTCTTCTCCAGGTCGTAGTTGCGCAGGAGTTTTGCTTTGTCCGGTGGCAGGTCCATAGATGCCTGTAACAAGTTTAAATCAATATAGCAATAGCATAGCAAGGAATCAGATCTTTATAATGTTTTTTTCTAAGAATTGACATCCTGTTTGACACACTGACATTATATATAGGGGAAGATCGTTACCCTTCGACGGGGGCACATTCATAAGTCAAATAACTTGAACGAAATAAAGTACAGTCTTGTTTGATGTCGAGGTACCAACTATACATCGGTTTGTTGACGATGAGTGAGTTGGCATAGGTGTTTTCGCGCTCGGTAAGTAATTTTTTGATTATGTTTTTATCTCTTGTTACCGTAGATAAAATAAGTTTCGTGTAGAGTATTCTATCAGTAACTAGCAAAATATACTTAAGATACTCTCCATACTTAATTTATGACGTTTTCCTATTAATATTAAAATAAGTTATATTTTGTTGTTATTCAGTTAGTGGGGGGGGGTTTCGGACAGCACTATGGGGCACATTTGTACGAATTGTACAACTAAATTTTATAATAATTTGTCACGCGATACTGACTCTTTCATTCAAATTAGTTCGCTCATTACATACTGTTAAGGCATCTTGACAAGTTGATTTTGATGCTTGTGAACCAGATGCTGTGAATAATTTACCAATCCATCAATAGTAGTTCCTTCGAAGTCAGTTTTGAGCTTCGCCCTATTCGCATTCTGTAAGAAGTAATAAAACAAGCAAAATACGATGACGCCAGGAAAACCACGAATTTATACTGCCACACCCGAAAATAAGAATTGTAATCCACACCAAAGAGTAAAAATGTAATTCTAAATTTAAGATACCTAACTAATTAAATTTTTTTTACATAAGAAAAGTATTTTATTTTTGTTTAATAGAAATTAAATCTTTATTTTTTTTTAATTTCATTGCTAATAAATGAATTTTGAACTACCCCACAGCTAAGAAGGTACCCCAAACACTGTAGAAGGTGCCCCTTGATGGGGCAATTCGTACGTTTTCCAGTTATTAAATCATAATTATGGTTGAAACATCGGAGAAATCATTTTTTTATTTGATCGATTGATTTAAGCTCAGGTGATTGATTCATGGAAAAAAAAAAATTAAAAATAAAATTAAAGTCCCCCTCCCCTATATAAATAGACTGAAACTATGTGTTGTAAATGTTTTGACAGTTTGTTATTTTTCTTGAAAATAATCACGTTTATGTTCTAACACAAAAATCTTCGAATTAAAATTTCTATAATAGCCTAGCGTGTTTTCCACAGACTAACAAACAAATTAAATTAATCATTTAACACATACTAGATAATCTAAAAGAATATATAACACATTCAAATCACACAAAGTAACTTAATATTCTTTATTCTAGACATCTTTAACTAACAGATTATGGTTCATCACGAAGCAGAAAATCGGCTTAATATTGCGTGAGGCTCAACTGCGCATACGTCCTCACATCGCATAACACATCACCGACGGAAATAAGACTCTACTCAATTGAATTAAGGTTTATAATCGTAAAAATTTGTTGTACAGGATCAATTGCAAACATGACACTGGTTCACATAAAACTGTAATATTAGTAAATGCGGTATTTTTGTGGTGTCTAATAATACCTCCGTGGTCTTTGGTAATCAGAGATGATGTGAGCTTTGGAAAGCTCCTATGATTGGGTTTACATATGGTACCTAAGGATAAGATTCAGAACCGCTAAGTGTGAGTCCTGTATGTCAGATATAATACCTTTATAACAGTCATATTTAACGCTCGACTCTGGATCTTCCAATAGAAGACAAAACAGAATCAACAATGTGGATAGGATATTTATAATATTTTTTTCTTTGATTGATTAGGGAAATCGAAGTTAAATATTTGCTTAATCTAAGATTGAAAAATATTTTTTTTTGCTTAGTAGTAAGCTGATAAAAGCCAAGACGTTACACAATAGTAATGCCTAATACATAAAAACTATACTATATATTTTTTTATTTTATTTTAGTAGTATAGTATATTTTGATTTCAAAAAACTAATATGTAAGTCGTAAAAATATACCTACAACACACGCAAAAAAATATATAAATAAAATCTGTGTAAAAAGAACAGTGTTGGCTTAGTGGCTTCAGCGTGCGACTCTCATCCCTGAGCACGTAGGTTTGATTCCCGGCTGTGCACCAATGGAATTTCAAAGTGCGTTTTAAACATTCGCGTGTGTTGTCGTGTTTGTGTGTCAGGCACAGTTCACTACTAGATTGACAAATTATCTTGAATCAGATACAAAAATCTGAGGCCCAGACCTTAAAATGGTTGTAGCGCCACTGATTTATTTTTAAATAAAATCTGTAATAATTCCTTCTATAAAGTGCGGATAGCAAACCTTGGAAAGTGAGGTCGCTAAATATGTTTTTGTTATATTGACAATACTTTTCCATTATAGTTTCACAGTAATCTATAATAATAGATATAGTAGTGTCAAGAAAACTACGTGGTAAATAAGAATTATATCAATTCGCATAATAACTGCCACACCGATTCTCATAACTCCAAACGCCAGTAGCTGTCAAAAAATTAAAACAAATAACGTCACTGCGGACGTAAAACGGCCATTGTTGTCTGTTGGTTTCGATTTTTGAATAGACCTTCGATTACGTTAACTACCGGTCCTCGTAATTCAATACGAAACATAATTGTTTTTAAACGTATGTTATTTAATTTAGTACAATGTATTTCATTGCTGTTATGGTTTTAATGTGTTATATGAACTACTTATAGTTGCCCCATTGCAAAATGCAAAAAAGGCAAATGTGCGACTTGTGTCGACCTATCACCTAAAATGTCGATCTATTTCGTAGCTCAAACGATAATTTTTTTTTTATAAAACCTGTTTTATAAAAAGTAAAAAGTTTTTTCTTTAAATCTGTTTAGTGGTTTCTCTTAAAGATGTATTCTTTATTTAGTCTATTCTTTTCTTCTCTATCATACATCGTTCCATCTATCTTTGACACACCTGTAGCTTTGTATGCTGCCCTTTAGTGGGTAGTTTATATTGTAAAATGGTTTCCATGATATTATTAATTTCCGTACATTGATGTAGTACATAGGCAATATGAACATAAAATACTATCCTAGAGGTAAAGTGACCAAACATATCAATTTTATATGCAAAACTGATATTTATGATGATGAGCTGTATGCAGCATTACCAGTCCGACACCTCGCACGACACGGGTGGGCGTGAGACACTTAAAACGACCACCCATGTCAAAGGTTATATTATCGCTCTTAATATCTTGTACAAACGGTCACTAATTATCCGGGTGACTGTATACAGGTATAATTTTATATACAGTAGTGTTACAATACAATTGATTTCGAAAGAAAACTACTATTAATCTTATATTACGTCTACGTTTAGTACACATTTTATTAGGAAGAGGGAAAATTTCCTCGATGTTTGTTGAAATAAATTATTTTAAATTTAATAAAAAAAATCTGTGGCGCTACAATCTGTTTAGGTATGGGCCTCGGATTTCTGTATCCGTTTCATGATCTTTTTTCAATCTAATAGGCAAGTAGGTGATCAGCCTTCTGTGCCTGACACACGCCGTCGACTTTTTTGGGCTAAGGCAAGCCGGTTTCCTCACGATGTTTTCCTTCACCGTTCGAGCGAATGTTAAATGCGCACATAGAAAGAAAGTCCATTGGTTCACAGCCGGGGATCGAACCTACGACCTCAGTGATGAGAGTCGCACGCTAAAGTCACTTGACCAACACTGCTCAAACTTAATAATAACCTGAATTAAAACAACTCAACATTTTTTTATACATTTGCAACACATATGTAAGTCAATATGATAAAAATGCAATGTCTAAATTTACTACAATCAATCTACAATCCTTTTAAAATCGTTTAAATTTCTAAATTATGACATTTATTGCACACAAAAAACAGACAGTACTCTAAAGATTCAGATATAATTGATCTGTAAAATCGTACCCAAGTAATAAGCCATTAAAAACAATTCGAAGGGCGTACTTTAATATGTAAATATAAAGTAGATTACATTATACTAAATCCGTAACTGTCGCGTCAGATTAAAGACGCCACGGATCCTCTTCAAAGTCAGGGATAATATTAGAGTGTTATTTCTGGATGTTGACTCACTGAGGAAATTATATGGAAGCGCTTCCTACAGTTGAAGCGGTGGTATCATTATGTAGAATATTAAATTCTCATTAGGATAGATTCCTGATAGAACCAGTATACGGATACAAGATTATTATTAGTTTAATAAAATATAGGATTTGTGATCTTTATAATATATATTCAACTGTACGTGTGTATGTCACTGAACTCTTAAACGATTTAAATGAATTTGTTTGTATGGAATTGGGTGGCGCCCCGGATATTTTGGCTGTATCTTTAGTAGGTATAAGTATAACGATACGATACTGCTTTTTTATGGAAAACTCGTAACGTAGAATAACCCGAAATTGACACAATATAATTAAATAGGGTATTTAAAGCTCAAAAGAAATGTATTAGAGTAATTTGTGGAGTAAACCGTCTTGATAGTTGCGTACCTTTATTTAAGAAGCTCAAAATTTTATCTCTTCCCTGTATTTATATTTTAGAAATGTCCTTAGTCGTGCACAGAAACATACATATTTTTAAGACGACGTAAGAAGTAGACATGGGGAGAAATTGGCTGTTCCAAAAATCAATCTGGAACTGTTTAGGAAAAACCTTTTGTATGGCCATTAGGGTTTACAATAATTTACCAAAAGAATTAAAAGATCTTCCGACTAGATTCTTTAAAAATGGACTTGGTGTTTTATGTTTGGAAAAAATGTGTTTTTCAATAAATTATTATTTGCGTGAGACACTATAGTTGATATAAATTTAATAACGTATGATATGATATGTACGATACAAATAATATAAGAACTGACCAAATCATATGACTAATAATGGTAAATTCCTTAAGACAAATTTGCGCGCCATTGTGTGTGGCAGAATATGCGAACTTTTACCACCACCTTACACATTTTTGTACCATAATCTTGCAATAAATTATTATTCTTCTGCTCAGCATTACCCGTCGTGACGAAACCTGCATGACTTAGACCTAAAAAATGTCGGCGGCATGTACTTGCCTATTAGAAAAATTTATCACGAAACAAATACAGAAACCCAAGTGAGTGTCCATGTGCGGCGGGCGGTATCACTTAACATGTAAAAAGAAACTGGCCCACTGGGTTGTTCATGAATGTTTCACGAATACATTTAGTATGTTAAAATCGTTCAATTACTGTAAGTGCCGGCATGGAATCGTAAAGCTACATTGTATAGATAACAGGACTGTAAGTTTTTACTGCCAGACGTATCTTCATTAAGTGAAATTTATTGAAAGATAAATACGCCGGCCTTTATTATGAAATATCGGTGTTTATCTTAATGACACGAATGCAGTTTTCTGTACGTTTTTAACTGTTAAGGTTGTTTTTGTTGTTTCTGTTGCCAGTATCAAACATTTATTTATTTACCAACCATACGATAATGTCAAAAAAAATGATTTAATAAAATATATAATAATACACAACATCGCTACTCTGAACTCACTCTGCGAACATATAAAGATGTCAAACATCTTCTAAAATAAAATACTTGGCTATTAAAAAGAGTTATTAATAGTTTCTTAGTAGTTCATCAGGTGTATATTACGCCCTTGTTTGAGAACTGGCAGTCATGGAAATTTATATGCACTAATTAACTGAGCGTTTTTTAAGGCAGTTTTTGGCGCGCACCACTACTGTGTGGTCCAGCGGCCCACTGAAGACGTATTTCCGAACCAATTCGACTAAGGGTCCTTCAAGAAAAGAGCGTACCAATTATTGGCCCAATAGGTGAGCCTCCTGCCCGTTTGCCCCCAATTCTATACAACATCAAATTTAAAAAAAAAATTGACTTTCACAAGTGTCATGTTACTAAAATCATAAAGTTTTGTTTAAACGAAATTATCTAATTTTAATTTACTTTTTTAAAGTATTGAAACAGATAAAAACACCATAAAACCTAAAAAATCTGTTTTTGTTTTTCGTTTTTAATTTTCAAATGTCTATTGATATAAATAGGTCTATGGTTGTAGGTGTAAGTTGTCTAAATTTATAAAACTGACAGCTGTATCGATTCGTAATAATTTCTTACAAAGTTTTCACCCCTCATCAAAAACGTGTTGACTCAGTGGAAGGCCACTCCATATCGATGGGATTAAAGTCCGATTAAAATACCGATAACTAGTGAGGTTATATCTATTATCGATAAAATTTAATTAATTTTTGTGCATAAATATAATACATTTTATATTTACTAATAGCAGTATATATGAACGTAATTTTGAAAGAAACACCAAATCAGATTATTCTAAATAAGATTATCTATTGTTATTTGTATGTAAGTTATTATAATAAGTTTAATGTTAACTAAAGACAGAGGGCATTAGTCTTTTGTTATTAAAACAATCGCTACTATAATAAATGTATGACTAGAAAATAATAAGAAAAGTAAACATGATAATGAAGAAATGTCAGTAAACAATAAATTAAAAAAGCAATCAAGTGCTAATAATGTCCAGCAAAAAACTATTATGAATAAATAACAGTGAATGTTTTCAAGCACAAAATCCTATTCCTTTATACAAATAACGAACATTGTTTGCTTATCTTCTGAACAAAAGATTTTCACATGTGTCGTATTGAATCGAATAATAGATGGGGAAGTTAAATACTCCTAATCATCTACCATTAGTCGTCGTGAGAAAGTAAATAAAGTCTTCCGCTTATGTAACTAATGTTTATATACTCGCAAATATTGATGACCATTCTGTTGACGATCTAGGAAGCCGTTTGCCTTTCCTACAAACAGCCGGGGGAAACTAAATTAAACTACTTTTTTTGAAGTGAAACTTCTTAAGGCGCATGAGGGTAAATTTTTTCGGATATGTCACGAAGATGTGCAGCGTTTTTGTCGAAGAAAAGGGAGAGACCAATTGAGAGAGAGTGAGAAGGGTAAATTATCGTATAGAAATTCTATTTTAAAATTAAAATTTCGTAAAGAGAATTTATGAAATATTTATCTTTTATATTTTATGCAAAATAATTTATTGAAATCCCAAATGACGAATTATAAAATAAAATGCCACGTATTTTTATTATCGAAGAAATAAATTTGTATTAATTTTCGACACTTTTAATATTTTAATGACAGTTAAATTCCTAACATATCTTCCTTTTTCCCTCCCTCTAAGTCTGGGAAATCTAGTTTTAAGTTGTATAAATATGAACAAGACTTAAGGCTGAATTTAGTGTCACGCCGACCACACGCGCACCGTCGGTGCTGATGGTCGAGATATATGAACTTCTAGAAAGCGTTTTTGAATGACGCGTAGCTATAAGCGCGCACGGTGGTCAGCGCTGATGGCTGCGCGGCCGTACGCGTCGCGCGTCGGCGCCACGTAGCTGTCAGCGCTGACGATCGCTAGAGCGCCTCTGCTTTCAGAGAGCGTTGTAGTGTCGAACGGAGCGGACATCGTCAGCGTGTACAGTCATGGCAAATTGCGAAGTGGATACAGGTCGAGTTATCGACGAGGTACGCCTGAGGAAGAAATTGTGGGATGCATCCGATCTACTCTACAAAAATATCTTGTTGACATTCAAAAGTAATTAAAGAATTTACTTTCGTCAGTCCTCAAAGTGCGATATAACCAGACAAAGCCTCCTGCAACGGCTCTCTGCTCAATCAATGGATGAACAAGGAGTCTTCGTCGTCGCCGGTTTTTATTTTTTTGAGATAGGTAGTACAAAGCAGCAATAACTAATACACTCCACATTTTGGTCTTCGTCTGTACAGATAAGGCGGTCAGTACGATACTAAAACGAACCACGCTGAGCGACAGCGCTGACGAACTACGCGCTGATCTATGAGCACTGACGGTGAGCGTGAGACTAAATTCAGCCTAAAAATGACATGATAGAAATGTTTGCCAAAGAAGTTTCACTTCTGACATGTGTACTTTTTACGCATGTACTTTTTGTGTATTTTTTAGCGAAAAATGTTTTAGTTGCAGAGTAATGCAGAGTTTAGACTTTAGAGTTTAGACTTTGTTCCGGTACTGATAGACAGCTGCCCGAGAAATACCTGCACGGGCAGCGTAAAGACTACACCAGTGCTGCTACATATGAATGTTGTTATGTTGCAATA